GTTACTGCTCAAACAAGTATGTTAAGCTCTTGCTCTACAACTACATCCCCAATGGCAATCTGCAACAGCTCCTGAAGGATAACAGGAGCCTGGACTGGGATACCCGGTACAAGATCGCCGTCGGCGCAGCACAAGGGCTGGCCTATCTGCACCATGATTGCGTCCCGGCGATACTCCACCGCGATGTCAAGTGCAATAATATACTGCTTGATACGAAGTATGAGGCATACTTGGCTGACTTTGGGCTGGCCAAGCTGATGAACTCCCCCAACTATCATCATGCTATGTCACGCATCGCCGGTTCTTATGGATACATTGCTCCAGGCAAGTGATTCCTACTTCAAGTATTTATCTGCATGCTATTTTTTCTTCAAAATCTAGAAATATAGTAGTAGTAGAATGTAGTGTACAAGACCAGCAACAGTTAATGCCATAGGTTAATGACTCTTTGGGTAATGCTGTTATCTAAGAAAGAATCTTTGACCTGCAGTTGCTTCTAGTAATCTTAACCTTGCTCTGATTCCATGACCATGACCATGACCATGACTAGTTGATTGCTTGTAGCTTAAGCAGGTGAAACCGATCAGTCTGGCTATCTATTAACTGCCATTGCACAAGTTTCTGAAATCACAAGCATCAATGTCCATTGAAGCTTGTTGACTTATATACTGTTTGTTGAAATGCCTGGCCCAAGATTATGTTGATATGCTTAAAACATCCAAGAAATTTATCCTGACATACATTTCCTCATTTTCAGAGTATGGCTACACCACGAAGATCACCGAGAAGAGCGACGTGTACAGCTACGGGGTGGTGCTCCTGGAGATCCTGAGCGGGCGGAGCGCGGTGGAGGCGGTGGTGGGCGACTCCCTCCACATCGTGGAGTGGGCGAAGAAGAAGATGGGGAGCTACGAGCCAGCGGTGAACATCCTGGACCCGAAGCTGCGCGGCATGCCGGACCAGCTGGTCCAGGAGATGCTGCAGACGCTGGGGATCGCCATCTTCTGCGTGAACCCGGCGCCCGCGGAGCGGCCCACCATGAAGGAGGTGGTGGCCTTCCTCAAGGAGGTGAAGTGCTCTCCCGAGGAGTGGGGGAAGATCTCCCAGCAGCCGCTCATCAAGCCCGGGAGCCAGCAAGGTTGACATGAACATCAAGAACATGGAACATGAACATTGCTGCTGGTGTAGCAGTTGATTCAGTGGCTCAGCAAGGGGTTCAAGGAGTAGGATTTTGATAAGATGCAGCCTAGCTTAGCTTGGGTTAGGGGGGTGGAAAAAAAATTTCTTGTACAGCTCCAAATGGCGTTGCGTTGCAGCTCATTTTGGTGAACTTTGAATGGGGAAAAATTCCGCGGTTATTTTGTTTGCTCCTGCAATACATCACAAAATCTCAAATCTATCTTGGGTATGATGAATATGATGCGAAGAATTAACATCAGAATCTGATCGCTTCAGCTGAACAGTTGCCTACAGAGTACAATACAGATTGCTGTGAGCCTGTGACTGTGAGAAGAACAGTTGCAACAGTAGCTGGAAGGCGGATAGAGGTGGAAAGTAGAGAGAGTACAGACAAGGCCCATCGCCCATGCATGACCCGGTGCTCCCTCGACGCCGGCATCTACGGATCGAGCCGGAAGCGGAGACGCGTCAAACACTCGCCGTTGGCTGGGCTGGGCCCCTCTCGTCGAGCGCGGTTGGTGGCTTGGCATGGCCATACTGCTGTCATTCGACCAGTCACTCGCCGAATTGCTAGGCGCTGTAGCGGCCGAAGAGGCGCGTGTTGCATCTGATCTGCGGGTGGCGGCGGCCACGGTAAGCTGGAGTTGCGTGGGTTGGTTACTTGGTAGGTTGTTGACTAATGGGCCGTATGGGCCTAAGGCCAACTGTGTTATGGGCTGTACCAAGGGACTTGAATGGGAAAAGTATACCGGAGGTCCCTGAACTTGTCACCGAGATTAAAAAACGTCCTTGAAACGCAATACCAGACACCGGCGGTCCCCCCAACTATACAAAACCGGTCACCCAACGTCCCTCGGTGGTTTTGACCCCGGTTTTGATCTACGTGGCGGCTGAGTCAGCGTGGGACCCACGTGGGCCCCACATGTCAGGTGTCCACAAGACCAAGTCAAATTAGCCACGTAGACGCCACGTCAGCCAAAACCGTTGTCCGAACCGCCGAGGGACCTGATCTGCACTAGTTTTGACAGTTGAGGGACCCGTTGTATCTGGTTTTGCGGTTAAAGGATGAAAATCGGATTTGTTGACAAGTTAAGATACCTTAGATGAATTTATTCCATTTACAGCACCGCTGACGGCCCCTGTCGATATTGAGAGCGGCCACGGGCTGGGAAGTAAGGCGGCAACAAATTTGCATTCAAGCAACAGTTGACTAGTGGAGCAACTATTTTTTTCCACGCACACACACATACTTCCCCATCCAAAAGAAAACTTAATTACCCAGACGAGTTCAGGAACAGATATCTATCTCTAATTCATATATAATAAATATAATAAGGTGATTAAAGTATTAAAAAAATACATCAACAGAAAAAATATACAGTATTACATGTGAGCTCGTAAAAGAATGATTAACCAATCTTTTTATCATGTTTGTAGATGGCTTTATAATATATTTTCATACATAATTTATAGATTGGTTATATAGTATCGAATGTTAACGTTTTTGGTTTTTATAGCACTTAAAGGTACTGGTTCACTTTAATAGCACCTAAAGTTTAGCCCATTTCAATTTTTAACACTTTCCTCAAATCTCGATTGTTTTTCATCCGCCTTAAAAACTACAATGATGCATTTCGTTTTTAACCTCTCTAATGACTTATATCTTTTAAATAGCATATTATTCTTAAAAATAATATGTTATTTAAAAACGAGATCAATGTTGAATATATATAAAATATTTTATTAATTTAAAAGTAATTTATAAGCAACTTAGCTATGTAATGGAAGTAACTCTCTATAGCATGAAAAGTAATTACGTTATAACTGAGTTGAAATAAGAAATTATGTTGAGTAAATTCACAAGCAAAGTGTAGAGAAGATTTTCAAGTAAATATATTTATGAAATTAAATTCAATAAAGCCTAAAAGTAATTACATAAATCATAAAAGTAACTTAGCATAAAATAGAAGTAAATTATTACAACATTAGAATTAAATTCGTTGTAGGGAGAAAAATATGGTCTATCTAAAAATTAAATTTAAAGTCCATAAATTATAGAATTGACTAAAAACAATAATAAAAATAATCAACACAGAGCATTATGAATGTATAAAAAGTAATTTAGTTAAATCTAAAAGCAATTTATATATATGATAAAAGTAACTTACGTATATAATAAAAACAATTTACAAATATAAATATTTTTTTCATCGTAATATAATCATGTAAGATCTTGTTGTAAAGATTTTAATTGCAATGAACACGATGGTGTAATCGGATTGTAGATCGGATAAGTAATTCGAGAGAAAACTTTATAAGGGGAAAAAGACATGCATGTGTGCGTAGTATACTTCTCCACTGCTCGCACGATCGAACAGCTATGACACAACGTGCGCGATCGAATGAATCTAAGCAGTGTCACGCGATAAGACAATAACGAGAGGTTTCGCCAATTAGTTTTTGCGTAATATGATTGATACACAGACTAGAGATCGATAGAGGAGAGAAACCACCGCTTGTAAAAATCAAGACCCGTTTAAAAAATGGTATAATTCATAGAGCACTGCTGCACGTACTAAATTTTTCTTACTTTACTAACAATCGTCAAATTGTTTGATTTAGGTAGATAGAAGTTAAAAAAACAAATCTAGATACACTCATAGCATAAACATCAGTGTTATTAGCATACAAGAATCTAGTAAGAAAAAGTTAGTCCTTATAGCCTTTTCCTAGTTCAAAATAACACCAATCTATAAAGCAGAACAGCGTGTTTCGGAGAGAAAACAACACATGGTTTGTAAATTATACGCTCGTCTGTAGGGGTGAAAACAGGGTAGGTATTTCCCGCCCACACGTCCGGCCACATTATTTCGTGACAAATTCGGGTACGGGACTTTTCACGGATATCGGGTCCAAATACGGGTCCTTTTTTATGGATACGAGATCGGGTTCGGTAACATAGTATCTGACGAATACGGATTATTCGGTAAAAAATTCTGGTATTTCCCGGATATTACCCATATTATGTTTTTGTGAAGCACCTTTTTGTACTATGTATTGGTTCTACTATGATGTATTATACCATGTTTATTTCCTAAGGTCCTAATGGCCTAATATAATCGTATTACGGATATATGGAATTGTTAAATGGTTATTGTCTACTCCTTCCATCCCAAAATATAAGCAATTTTATCAATGAATCTGGATAACCATATGTCCAGATTTATAGACGAAAGTTGTTATATTTTAGGACGGAGATAGTACGTGATATATAAGATTGTTGGTTCGACTTGATATCCGAATAAATATCCGTAACCGATAGTGTACGTATCCGTTTTGGTACTTATTCGTTCCGTATTTTTGTCGGACATTATCTGAGTTTGAATCCGTATTCGACACTATCCGTTTCCGACCCGATTCCGATTATAAAATATGGATTAGGATATAGGAGGAGTGAGATCTGACCGAACCCGACCCATTTTCACCCCCTACTCGTCTGAGTCGTCTCATCTTGAAATCTCTAAAACGACTCCGGCAAACAAACGAGAGCGGAACACGAAATAACTGCACCCCGCCTCCGCACCGCACCGCACCCGAACCCGTCCCCCGAACCATGCAATGCATGCGCCCGGTTAGCCGGAAAAAAAAAAAAAAGAAAAGAAACAACCGGAGTCCTAGTGTCTCACTGATACCTGGGCCCCACCTGCCTCCGTACGCGGTCGTACCGGACTACCGACTCTGACACTGAGCCGTGGGCCCACCTACCACTCCGCCGCCGATATATATAAACCGGCGGCGAGGGCTCTGCAATCCCCAGAAAAATCCCCACCCGGGGTGAAAAAAAAAATAAAGGAAAAAAAAAACGGAGAGAAGAGCGTCGTAACGGAAGAAGTCGGCGACGCGTCGGCCCAAACCCTAGACCCGCCGCCACCGCCGATCCGCGGTTCCTTCGCAATGGCGATCCCCACGCCTTCGCCATCGGTCGTAGATCAGCCGTCCCCTCCCGCGCCTGCTTCCGCCGCCGCGGCGGCGTCTCAGCCGCTAGCCGGCGATCCGGCTCCCGAGGCGGCGGCGGCGGCGGAGGGGGCGGGGGGTGATCAGACGGCCCCGGCGGCCGCCGCCGCCACCGGCGCGTCGCTGTACGTGGGAGACCTGGAGGCGAGCGTCGGGGAGGACCAGCTCGTGGCGCTCTTCTCCCAGGTGGCGCCCGTCGCGTCCGCCTATGTGTGCCGCGACATCGCCGGCGGCAGAAAGTCCTTGGGATACGGCTACGTCAACTTCATGTCGCGTGAAGACGGTTAGTTTTTTCCTCCTCTTCCTTTTACTTCTCATTTTGTCGGGTGATCGGCTTCGATTCGATCGTGGGTTCAGAATTCTGATGGTCTGGGTGTAGTGATCGGCCTTAACTTGAAGATTTATTTTTCCTGATGATAAAAGCTTTCGGTTAATTTACGTGATCACTTCGTATGGGCACGGGTCGATCAACTGTTCATTATGGAGGTTTATCGCTTTGTTTAGCTTACGGAGGCCTATCTCTTTGGTTATTATTACTAGTTTGTGTGTAGTCGATCTGCTATATATTGTACCTATTAATTATCTGTGTGCGAGATGCTGTAAATTTTGTTTGTTTAAATTAGTTCGTTTGGAGTAGCATATACTTATTACTGTTGTTATGATAATATTGTAAGTTTAATTAATCTGTTATATTTATTTTAATTTTTTAATGGGGTGATCACTTTTGAGTGTAGGGCTGTTGGCAACGATGTATTATATAGTGGAGTACAATGGTTCCATGTTAATTGTGAGCATTGGATTTTTTTTTTATGAAACTATGTGTTGTGATACCTTAATTTGAATAGAAGGGAAATTCTATTTTGTTTAGTTTTATACTATGCATCTTTGTTTGTTTTCGTTGTATTTTGTATTTCGAGAGTTTGACACCCGCTAATATCAACTTATTAATTTATTATCAACTCTTTAATTTAGTTTGATTGATTGCAGCTACCCGTGCCATGGAAAATCTAAACTTCACCGTTGTCAATGGGAAGCCAATCAGAGTCATGTTTTCGAATAGGGATCCAACTCTGCGAAAAAGTGGACTTGCCAATGTGTTTATAAAAAATCTTGAACCGAATATTGACAACAAGAGTTTGTATGAAATGTTTTCGTCTTTTGGCACAATCCTCTCCAGTAAGGTTGCCACAGATTTCAATGGAAAGTCTAAGGGTTATGGATTTATACAATTTGAGAGCGAGTCGTCTGCTAAGGATGCTATCAATGGCCTAAATGGCATGTTGGCTAATGGACAAAAAATATTTGTTGGATTGTTCATCCGCCGGCAGGAGAGAGAACACACTGGAGACGCTAACAACTTTACTAATGTATATGTGAAAAATTTACCAAAACATTTTAGTGATAACGATTTGCTAAATGAGTTTTCATCATTTGGTGCAATTACTAGTGCTATTGTCATGAGAGATGCAAATGGATTGTCGAGATGCTTTGGGTTTGTAAACTTTGAGAAATCAGAATGTGCTAGAAATGCAGTTAAAAATCTCAATGGGAAGTCCATTGGTGATATGGTGTTATATGTTGCAAGGGCTCAGAAAAAATCAGAAAGACAAGCTGAGTTAAAAGCGAAATTTGAGCATGACAAAAATCAGAAATTTGAGAAGCTTCAAACAGTCAATCTATACTTGAAGAATTTGGATGATGACATCAATGATGAGCATCTTAGGAAGTTGTTTGAATGTTTTGGTGAGGTAGCATCATGCAAGGTATGTTCTCTATTTGTTTTACTTTGTTTGATGTTATGCTTACTGTTAGTGAGTTGTCATTTGTTTTACGCTTCCATATATAATGCCAAGTTACAATTGTTGTAGGTCATGCTTGATTCGCATGGAAGGAGCAAGGGTTGTGGATTTGTATCTTTTGCAACTGTTGAAGACGCTAACAATGCTGTATGTTAAAAAATGATTCTTTTGTGCTATCCTCATACTCCCAATTCCATAGTTCTAAATATTTTTCAGTATTATGCAATTAATATTTTTAAAAATATTATAGATTTTAAAAATGAACGGGAAAATGGTTGGGAAAAAGCCATTATATGTTGCCGTAGCTCAACGGAAGGAGGAGAGAAAGGCATTTTTAGCGGTATGTACTAACTCTATTACATTTGAATTTGATTTTTAGGGTAGGTTTTGTACATCTTGTTATCTTTTCTTGTGAGTTTTGTAATTCATGAAAAAAAAAACTGAAAGTACATTTTGTTTCTTAACATTGACACTTGATACTAAGTGTGCTATGCTAACATTGAACTTTTCCATGTTACAAAGGTCGTTTGTTAAGCTTGATATTCATATCTTCTTTGTTTGCCAGGCACATTTTGCTCGTGTTAGAGCCCTAGCAACAATGGCACCTACATTAGGGCCAAACATTGCTCCCCATCAGTTCAATTTTGGCCATGGTGTGCCTGCCTTGTTCCCACCACCACCACCTGCAGGCTTTGGGTTCCAACCAAATTTTGTTCCAAACATGATGATGCCATATAACATGCAAAGGCAGCCTGGCCAGAGGAGTGGTCCTCCGCATGGAGGAATGCCTAGACATCTGCATAATCCTCACCAGGTATTCCTGTTGGCTAAATCATTGTCATATTTTTTTTCTTTTTTAACACAATAGATCCAGCATCTAATTGTATCCAATTATCATATCTACTTATTTTTGCTAATGTTGTCAATTACTCGCAACTTCAGCTACTCCCCCGTTTAAAATTACTTATCATTCTAGGTGTCTCTTAGTCAAACATGTTTATTTTTTACCATTAATTTTTAAAAAACAGTGTACTTTGACAAGTAAATTATATATTATGAAGGTATTGAATCTAAATCCATGAATATCATGATGTCAAACTACATGAGTTTAGAAAAAATGATTGTCAAAAACTAAAATGTTTGACTTAGAATAAGTCTAGAAAGAGAAGTACTAATTTAAAATGGAGGGAGCAATTAATAATTAACTAGGATTCACTTCACTTAACATCGTTGCTTGTTACTTTGTAGATGTTTCACCAAAATGCCAACCAGGGCTTCAGACACATGCCAAATCGTAGGAATGGTGTGGCCAACCCAGCAATGTTGCATCAGCACCATCGCTTCTCTAGCCCAATGCAGCCAATGCAACAAGCTGTCAAGCATGTGGTGCCCGTGGGGGAATTGCAAGCTCCAAGCAATAACCTTCAGACTTCCTTGGCTTCTGCGAACCCGGAACAACAACGAGAGGTATGGATGTTTATGCTCTGCTTTCCGTACATGCTTGAACAATTTCACAGATTATAAACTATATACTGGTCATCAACATGTGGAACAGCATTGCGAAATAATTCTTATGGTCAAACTTCAATTTTTGAAAAACTTATCTAAGTCAAATCAGCCATGTTGTGAAACATTGAATAGATCTGGAGCACGTTTTGTTTTACGTTTTGATGCATGTTCTCTTACGCAATTATTGTTACAAAAGCATATGTAGCGAATCCGTTTTTCAGTTTAGTCTTTTATTGATGTATACAGTTAGAAATCCTTGCTATGAGGATTTTTTTCTCACCTTAAAATTATACTAAATTTCACTTCTCGACTATGTACAGACCAAGCTTGATTCTTGCCAATGTAGGCTATACAATTATTGATAATGTGGCAATTTCTAGACTACAATGATTCCTTTTACATCCCAGAACTAACGTGGTGGTTTAAAGAGAGCATTCAATTAGTATAAACCATGACTTGTTATGAGGTTAACAAAAGTTTTGGTACACGACAAATCACTATTTTGAATTGTTATTACCTTGCTCTGATTTCTATTATAGTCATGAAATTCTTGCTCTCTGTAAAATCCTTCTGAGTTGAGATGGTTGGACATAGCATTTTTGTTCTCTTATTGACAGTTAGACTACAACTTCACCAATGTTTAATTTTTCCCATTTCTGATGTACAGATTCTTGGCGACATGTTGTTCCCGCTCGTCGAACAGCTGGTGAACGAGAAAGCTTATAAGGTGACTGGGATGCTGCTTGAGCTGGACAAGACTGAAGTTCTGAACCTCGTAGAGTCTCCAGATACTCTCCGGGACAAGGTTGCTGAGGCCATGAAGGTGCTGGAGTTGGAGGCTACCGCCACCGCCGCCGCCGCCGCCGCCGCTTCAGGCTCCGGCGACGGCGACGCCGCCGCGCCGTCCTCCTCCAGCGCCGCCTGAGCGGTGTTGGTGGCCGGATGAATTATCATAATAAGATGAACTTTTGAAGTCGTGTGTTTTGGACTTGGGAACTGTTTAGATGACTGTTCAGTTTATGACTTTAGCAGCTTGCGTTTGCAGATTATTTGGAGTATTGGTTATGGTTGTGTACTCTTTATGTTTATTTTTTTTCTTTTTCATGTGATGGTACACTGTGTGTGGATGGTTAATTAGGATTTTTTGTTGAAATGGATCCTTATTTCAGACTCAAAAGTTCGGTTCTTTTAAATGTTTTGCTAGTTGTTATTTCTCAAATATGGTAATTTGTGATGAAACATAGGTAATTAGGTACTAGTACTGTTTTGTATGCAAAACCCTGAAACTTATGTGGGTTCCTGTGGAATTCATGTCTCCTCTTTCGTTTGGTGGAGATGTAAATGCTGTCCCCAGATCACCATAAGTAATATTGGTCCAATAATTTTGGTCTTAATTGCTCTAGCTGGAATGTTACAACTTTGAGCAACAAGAGGAAAAAAACAAGAGAACTTCTATACACAAGGAAAAGGACGAACACACACACACCTCTCCCACAGCAAAATCGCAGGAAAAGGAACGAAACAGCACAACAAACTCACCCTTTTACAGCAAAATCGCAACCAATCTGAAAGTGAAATTGCATCTTTTTGCTTGACCCGGAGAAGTGAAATTGCCCCTCTTTTTTGTGCTTACTCATCCCTGTGATCTGGTGCTCAGGCTCAGGCTCTCGCTGCTTGCCCAACCGTCCTGCACCTGCATGGAGTACTGCAGGTTCCAGAGGACGTCCTCAATGGAGGGCCGGCTGCTTGTGTCACTGGCAATGCAATTGAGTGCTATCTCGGCCACCGTGCTCAGCGACTCGACGGCGAACGTTCCGCGGATCGTCGGGTCCGCCATGTCTTTCAATAAATCTGGGTCTTCAGCTATAGCTTCACTTATCTGGTTTTGAGGAGTAGTAAAAAGGTTAGGTATTTGCTGGTGTGAGGTGTTTTTCACTCTGATGTGAAACCATTCTCAATTTACCTGAGTTTTCAGGGAGTCCAGGTCTTTTGGGGACTCTGTTGGCTTGCCTGTGATTACTTCCAGAAGAATTAGGCCGAACTGGTAAATGTCATCCTTGTCCCCTTGTTCTGTGCTTGGCACGCTACGAGAAGAAACAATCATAATCATTTTAGTTCACAAGTTGAGAAAATTAATCAGATTGTCATTCATTCTGAAAGGTAGGTCAGGTGGCATCTCTGAGTTTCAACAACCAATCATTTAGGTTCAGAAAAACTGTCAACTGTTATAGTTTAGCAAGTGGGAGTGTTATTTTCCATCTAAAAGGACACCGTACCTGCCGAGATCATTGTCTTCAGATGTGGCAAAGGGGGATTCTGAGAATATCTGAAAGATAAACATGGTTACAACTTAGCTATCAGGTTAGCAAGTTAGGAGCTTCCCCAATAATTTAAAATTCGAACTTACCTTGCCATTCTTGCTAGTTGATATCAACGGGAGGTTAAAGTTGCTGATTTTGGAAGTGAGTGTCTTGTCCAGAAGAATATTTTCGATGCTTAGATCATTGTGTACAATGCCCGGAGCAGTCACATCATGCAAAAACTGGATCCCTCTGGCGACACCAATGGCAGCAGAAACACGTTGGGGCCATTTTAGCATCTCACGCTTCCTCCACTCTGCACCAGCCAGTAAAAGGATAAATTCACATACTTGAAGATATCTAGTTATAGTGCGGTATATATGCATGATGTCATAAAATATAATTACCGGTTAGATGACTTCTTAGGGATCCATTTGTTACGCATTCAGAAAGGAGGCATAATGAACTAGCAATATTAGGATTCTCTTGATCTTCAACAATGCAGTGACCGATGATGCTAACCAAATGGCGGTGTCGAAGTTTAGAAATAATTTCCATGTATTGGGTCAGGCTCTGAGGGGAATACTTGGGTTTCAGCTTCAGGCATCTCAGTGACACTCTAGAACCATCTTGAAGCTGACCGTTGTAATGCTATCAGCAAAAAAGGACAATAAGCCACACATGAAAAATAAAATTTTCTAGCAGAAAACTTGTACTGAAAATATGGCCAAAGGTCAATAGATGACAAAAATTGGAGTGGCAAAGCACTTAAGAACAAATAAACAGAACAGGCATAAATAGCTAAAGTTGTGTAAACCAGTTGAAAAGGAAGCTTGAAGGTAATGTGAGCCGGTCCATGTGTTTTTTCCTCTTTCTTTCTTTTGCAAAAATAGCGCATGTATAACGTACAATAAGCCAATACCTTCAACATATACTAGAAGCAAAATGATACTTGATGCAAGTGCACTTATATATTTTTTTTTGTAAATATTGGTGAAGAAAATAATATTATTGATCCTAAGTACAATGCCTCAAATTAACATACTTTCAAATACTTATCTTAATTAGGACGTTAAAAGTAATCAAGGGCATCAAGGTTCTTAGTTGCAGGTTAAGTCCAATAAAAATGTATTCTTTTATATATATTTTTACGAGAGTATTCTTTTATATTCACCCAGAGCCTTTTATTCATCAAATTTATAAAGTGTGACAGAAAAAAATACAAAAGATATTGTAGTCCAAAGTGTACTCTAGTCCATTATGACTTGAGATGCAGAGGTCTGCAATGGATTATTTGGAAAGATGGAGATGGATTTCTAAAATTTACATTTGAGTTTGCTAGCAGGTACACATGCTCAAAATATACTCCACACGAAAATAAAGGAAGAAAAATGTGCATGGCACATAGCAATCTTCTTTTGAAAATTGAAATGCATATTATTCTTCAAATGGTTAATATGAGTGGAGTATCATTTGTATGTGCATTTATTGCTTTGATTTTTCGCTTGAAGCTCAAAATGACTTCACTTCTGCATACCTTAACAACAGGAGAACTCTTGATCAAGTTGGATGAACCAAAGTTGTTGGTTGCTTCTTGGAGCTCCTCAAGTGTATACACACGGTAGGCTGGTACTTCTAGTGTATTCACCCTTGCAGCTTGTGATGCATGCCCTATGACAATGGACATCATGTTACCCAACCAAAAAAGAATAAAAATGATCATCCTGCAAATTGTTTAGTGGTCACTAAAGCCATTGATCCTAGTTGTTTTTTCCCCCCTTTTTCTAGTTTGATGATTGACTTTGCTGCTTTTACTTTCTCAAAGTCTTCTTTGAAGCAAGGAATAAAGATCCAGCCCATGCTTCAGAACTCATAGTCTAAGCAAGATCCACACTAGCTAGCTCACGCAAAGCTTCCTAATTATACTTCACATTTCACTAAAGTGAGTAGCCTTTATTCACACCAGAAACAATGCAATACAAAACTAATCGTAATTGCTTCTAATTAGTACTAGCACTTCACTTCTTTGTGTTGCCCCTTTCTCTATCACTAATCATATATACCTTTCAATGAAGCCCATGCATAATCTTGTGTCCCCTTTTCATAATTAATTCAACTAAGACTAAGTGCATTGTACCAAATTGAAGTGCAGAAAAACAAAATAAAAACAAATTAAGCAAAGCAAATGCATTTCTCCTCTTACTCTTTTCAGCAGGAGTAACAATCCTCTGTGTCACCTTGGCCGGCGCCTTGCCGCCGTCCGCCGCCGCCTTCTTCTTCGCCGCCGGCGTCGACGCCAGCGGCGACTTGGGCAAGACGCTCACCTCCGGATTCTGCCTCCTCGCCCTCCTCAGCACGGCCATCATCACCAGCGCGATCAGCGCCGCGCCGGCCACGACGCCGCCGACGATGCCAAGGGCCATCCCCACCTGGCCGCCCTTCCCGCCCGACCCCTGCTCGCCGCCGGTCCCCTGCGCCGGCGGCAGCACGGCGGCCAGCGCGCCGGGGTTGCAGTACGTGCTCGGCCGCTGCGACCTGGCGTCGCGGAAGCAGTTGCCCGCGTCGAGCACCGTGCGCGCCGACGAGTTGCCGCGCATGCACGCCGGGCGCGCCCCGGCGAGCAGGTTGTCCGAGACGTCGACGAACGCCAGCGCGTCGGCGCACGCCGTGCTCGCCGGCAGCTGCCCGGCGAGCTGGTTGCGCGACAGGTCGATGTGCCGCAGCGCCGGGAGCGCGAAGATGGAGGAAGGGATCCACCCCTGCAGGCGGTTGCCGGACACGTCCAAGAACTGGAGCTGGCCCAGCGAGCTCATCGCCGCCGGAATCCTGCCGGTGAAGTTGTTGTCGGCGAGGACCAGCCGCACCACCGCGTTCCCCACCTCCGGGAACGCCGGGCCGAGCCTGTTGTGTCCGAGGTCGAGCTCGTCGAGGAACGCGAGCCCGGAGAGGTTGGGCACGGCGCCATTGAGCCTGTTCCGCGACAGCACGAGGCTCTGCAGCGAGTACATCCGCGAGAAGTGCTCGGGGACGGCGCCGTAGAGGCAGTTGCCGGTGAGGTTGAGCACCCGCAGCGCCTGGAGGCGGTGGAGCTTGGCGCCCGGGAGCTCGCCCCAGACGCCGAGCGACGCGAGCGTGAGGCGCGACAGCGCCGGGAGCCGGGTGAGCGTGGTGAAGAGCGCGTCGGCGGAGAAGTTGGCCGGCAGCGCGGCGCCGGGCGCGCGGCCGCCGAGCACGGAGAGCTCGGTGACCTGCCCGCCCGCGCACGCCACGGTGAGCGACGGCGTTGGCGGCAGCGCGCACGCGTCGGGTGCCCCCGCCAGCGCGTCGAGCGCCGGGGGGAAACCCAGCAGGCGGCGCACCCAGAGCAGCGTCTTCGCCTGCGACGACACCAGCGGCTGCGCGGCCACCAGCGTGGAGACGTCGACGCAGAGGACGACGACGACGAGGACGAACACCACACCGACGCGCTCGCCGCGCGACGAACGGGAAGCCATTTCCGCCGCGACGTCGGCGATTAACTCAGCAATCGAAAGCTTGCAGCTCCGTTCAGCAATGGCGAATCAAGGGAGAGCGTGCGCTTAGTTGGCCATTGGTGGGAGGAGGAAGAAAGGCGAGAGGCAAGTGGTGGCCATGGCCATGGACGACGCGCGAGCGAGTGCTTGCCAGCCAAACTAGTACTACTACTACTACTCCACTGCCGACTCTGCTAGCGTAGCACACACTGTGCGTCACTGTCCCCTCCCGCGATCTGGACCAGATATTGCCATGACACGTAGGCCCCACCCCAGGTGGGCCGGCCATGTCAGTGTCCCCGTACTGGTCAATGGAGGCTGGTTTCGCTGACGGGTGGGGCCGGAGGTCCGACGTGTCCGGGTTCTGCACGCCAGGTGTGACTGAAAACTGGGTGGGTGTGGGGCCAGGGCAGGGCGCGCAGGCCGGAGTTAACTGCCCTGGAGCGCAGTAGGGGGTGGTTGGGGTCGGAGAGGTGGTGCACTCTGCACTGGTGCATGGCATGTGCGAGGCGTGCGTGAGCGTCGTGGTGCGACGGCGACGTATGCGGTTAAGCGGTGCGCGCCAGGGCCCAGGTGCATCGCGGAACCCTTTTTTTTTTCTATTTTTAAATTTTTAATTTTAAAAATAAACCTACGCCAATTTGGCCAATGTTAGCAAGAAAAATTGATTTCTTTCGCTTCACAATACTAAATAATTCGCTTAGCAGTCAGCACACAAATATTTAATTCCATTTGTTCAGTTTGTTTTCCTCTTCTTTGTAAGGGTTATTTACAAGATCTGAATGTTTTCCTCTTCTTTGTAAGAGTTATTTACAAGATCTGAACTTTTTAACCACGCTAGCCCACACTAATCTACCGCATCGGTTCAGCTGACACGTCACCATGCTTGACGTGGCAGGACAAGGATATCACATTAAGAGTGTTGCTATACGTCCGACTCCCTCGTCCGACCCCCATCTGACCCAACCTTAACTGCCAATCGGTCCGCTCCACGCAGACCAACATATCTCTATGTGGGCTAGTGCAATTAGCAGTTAAGTGTTGGTCGGACATGAGTTGTACGTACCGGTCGTATGTATAGCGATTTTCATCACATTAAATACAGGTGATGTTTACTGTGCTAAATGGATTGGCGTGCTCAGAAGATTTAAATTTAGAAAATAAGTTTTTAGAATGGTTTGTTTTAAATAAAAAATAAAAAGGTTTTAAAAAATAAAAGAAAATTGTTGCGGAAGATCACGTCTACTAATGCCCTCTCCACCTTCCTTAGATTAATATTTTCTTCTCTTTCGCTTTTCTTAGCCAACAAACAAAATCCTACCTCCGTAACAAATACCCAATATACACAGATATCAAGTCGAGTCGCGAATTGAGCGTAGCTTAGCTGGTTAGGTTTCTTCTGGTGGAGCTAGCCCACACGTCGATAGCGATATGTCGGCCTATTCTTGCAAAGATGTTTATAGGGATAGAGTGTGCGCGTGTACGTTTATAGGGGTTAGTAAAAAAAATATCAAAGTCGAGTTAGACAACTATAGGGTGTGCGTGTGTGCGTCCATAGGGGTGAGTAAAATAAGATATCAATTCAAGTACGTGTGATTATAGGGGTGAGTAAAAAAAATATCAAATCGAGTGTGTGCGTTTATGAGGATGAGTCAAATAAAACAAAATATCAAGTCGAGTCAGACAAATACATGTCGTTCTAACGACGTCCATCGCAAGTATTATAATCTCTCATATTTTACTACGGTGATAGTAATATTTTGTTTGTCACTTGTCCCGTATCTAATCTGGTTCAATCCGCGTGAATTTTTTCCACACGTCGAATGGGATGTTTTTTATTTTTTCTAACAGTAGTCAATTGGACGAAACTGAAAAAATGGGCCAGGTTCCCCGATCGTGGCATGATGGAGAAGGACGCTAGTAATAAGTCATCGGCTTGGAGTGTACCTAACTTGGATGCTACGAGTCAATCGAGTGGCTTTGGGCTTTCAACTTTGAACACCATCATGTACTACGTTTCCCACGAAAAAAGTTAGGCGAGTGCGCCCGTCGTTGCACGCCGCATGCGCAATGCTGGGGTCGTCAAACCAGTTGCGCCGCTTCCGTCATTTTTTCAGGCCTTGGGCTTGTTACTGTCCACGTTCATTTTTACTTTCTTTCTCTCGAAATAACTTCAATTTTCACATACCTCATACATAAACAGTCCCATCTTTTCGCTTATGCTTATACTTATTAGTTAAAATTTAAATTTTCAACCTTAAATTTAAAGCTGATTTTGAGTTTTTTTATCGAATTTTTTTTCAACATTTGCTTTTTAAGTCGCTAAGAACATGCATATAAAAGTTTTATTCACAAATTACTTCTCGTTTGCAAATATGCCATTTTTCTTATTCCACAAATAAGCCAAACAATAGGGCCGAAAATATACCAATACAACACAAAACAAAAAAAAATATCTACTTTATAAAATCTCAATGTAATTATTTTTCACTTTATCTACTTCCAATATATCCATCCCCTATTTTCACAAATTCTAATGCAATGATTACTAAAAGTAAATTTATTTTGGGATAAATAGGAAAGGCAAAGATAAACTCATTAGAGCACCCGCAATAGTAAAGTAAGGTGTTCTTTATAAAACATGTACATCTCAGCAATAGGCTAGATTAATAGTAAACCACCTCAATAGTATGTTTACATGGGTATCTATAACTCTCTCATGCATTGCCTCGTTTTTCTCTATAGACTATCCCTAAGTTAGTGATAGCTTTGCTCTCTCTCTTCATTTAATATCTTCCATGTAGGAAAATATACTGACATGGATCTCTTATAGAGAGCCTATAGATAACCATTGTGGGTGCCCTTATGAGATGGAGGTCTCATTGTCTTGAAAGCGAGTCATCCTCCTTCCATTCTCTTCCGTCCGTACTATCCACATGAGTAACTACCGGATCAAATGTTTTATCTCCGAAACGTATCCTATGCATACCAGCATTCTCATGTACACACCGTGCACGCTAACTTAAAAATATCATATTTTTTTAAGAAAAGATTGTATATATTTTTTGTAATATTATATTTATGCGTAAAGTCTCATCTCCAATCACCTTGTAGCACATTCTTAAATTTGTGGATCTGGTTAGTTACAGTATGGACATGCTACTTAATCTAAGCACACTCTTTTGAGGTCAGATGTAGCACTTGCTAAACCGGATCAATCAGGTTAATTAAGCAGCAACATGACACATTCCGTTTGGCTGTAAAGAGTGAAAGACAAGTGAATTGAAAGTTGAGTGGATTTGGTGAGATGCCATCCCAAGCATGTGTCGGTTACGCATCGATCGGGGGATATATGGAGGAAAATCATTAGAGAAACGGACGGATTAGGCTTGATCCGTTTGGCTGTATCTCTTGTGGAATGCTAGCTAGTGGTATATACTGCCAAGTGACCAATGGTATTAATTTGTGTACATAATTTGGTGTGAATATTACGGCCTCTGGTTTGAACTATTACGCAACCCTCTCGCTACACGAAATAGTCCAAAAAAATCCCGTAATTTTACAAAAGTGGAGACACAAGATATGAGGGTGTGGCATCATTTCTCATTCATCCATTGCATTCTCTAGTGTACAATCCTCCTCCCTACTCCTCTATTTATAGACATTCCCTCTTCCACCTTCCATGTTTAATGTTGGGCCCAATTAGTGGGTAACCGGGCTGGGCCTTCGTGGGCCGGCGGTTTCCTAACATGAACTATTCATATGCATCACCCACTGATTTTTTTTTCCTTGGAAATGAAGATGCACAGTTTTATTTTACCAGGACAAAGTTGTACAATTCCAGCCTTGCTTGTTAACCAATTTGTATTGAATTTGTTCTGCATTAAATTAGCGGGCAAGCGTAAAAATGCTCTTTCTGAAGTGTACTTCACAATTTCATTGTTGGAGCTTCTTTTAAGGGAATGGAATCAAATTCATTATGGTACTTTGTGACTACAGTTGAAATTACATGTGAAAGTAGTCGTTACCAAATGTACTTTGACTAATTACTAAAAGAACTATTGAAATTAAGATTGAGCGGCTGCAAACATACCAATGAACATGCCCCTGCAGTTTCAGGCCGTACTGGTTGCAATTTTAAAATGCTCGATCGCTGTGCGTTGAAGAATCAAAGAGTATCAGAAACAACCAATCCCTATTTAATACCATCATTATTTATTTTTTGAACTAACACTAGTACTCCTGATTGTTTAATACTGTACGCCTGCACGGTGTTTGGACCCGTGAATCTCTGCCTTAAAAAACTTCTGAACCCAAGCATAAAGAACAGCTGACTCTGCCTCAACCATTACTGCTAATCAGCTTGATAAATGCGCTACAGGAACTTTGTGGTATGGTGTTTTGGACTGTTGGTGTGTAGTAATATGATCGAGTCTGTTTGGTTGCCATTGCCAATTTGCCATGAAGGAGCTGATTGACTACACGACCATGAATGATGATGGGTTGTTTCGTTCGTGTACAGCGCTAGCAACATATCAGCCGCTAATAACACTATTTTCAGGCAAGTTAAGTATCAAAAGGTGTGGCTAACTGGTCATGCATGTAAAACTTTTATCCGTTAGGGTTTAAAACCGATGTCTATAACTATTACACAAATACAAATAGGCTCTCAAATTTAGTAAAACTATTGATTTCCCCATAGTCGTCTCTCTAGGGATGTGTGACCCGTGCGATCACAAATAGCCTTAGAATTCTTATGGCCTTTAACATAGGCTGTGTATGCAGGGGCGGAGGTAGAGTATGGGACGGGGGTGTCCAGGAACCCGATCAATAAAGTTTTTTAAGCTAAACCTCACATCTTTTCATCATGTGTGCACGCCCATCTCAATACAAAATTAGGCACCTGCATTAGCTTAAACTTGATCTAAAGTAGAGTAAATTAAGCAAATGGCCACCCTCCTCTATTTCGTTTAGCTCCATCCTTGTATGTATGATCGAAATTACTATTTAGCATAGTTGTGTTACTAGCGTGTACTAAATTTGTTTTAGTTTTCATAAACGTGCATATGTATGTTCCGTTAATAAAATCAAGGGTTAATTTTCTGTTCAACAAACAGTGTCATATCTAATAACAACAAAAAAAAAACACAAAGTCAACGCATTGTTTTTCAGTATTCATCCGCACCATCCATCATTAAAATCCATTCATACTAATGGACCCACGTGTCATACTCCTACACCTCTATCGGTCCATACCCAATTCTCCACTCGAGAGTGCCTGAGGTTCTTATGGGTTGCTTATGATTTATTATAACTCGTAACGTAACGGTTTACTAGCGATTAAAAAAATAATCCATGGGTAAAACTTTTACATATGTCCTTAGCGACTTAAAAACCAAAACTGAAAAAAAAATCAATTGACTTAGCGATTTTAAAAGTCAAAACTGAAAAAAAATACTATGTTGAACAAACATGAAAATCAATTTTAAAATTTAAATTTTATCTTTGACTCCGAGATCGGGGAGATCGACCATCACTCATGGAATCGTGGTCCGGCTCAATCATCAAGGCCCAAAAGCTGGAGCATCTTTTGGTGCGTGTGTCGGTGCTGACGTGGACCGTTCCCTTCTTCGGATACTCGTGCCGTGGGGCCCGCATCCACAGTGACACGGAAACATCCCTGACTTTGTGAAGTTTACAGTTATGCCACTTGACATGTGGGCCCCACTTTGGTATGGCCCACATATCAGTGGCACAACTGCAAAATGCATAAAGTCAGGGGATCCTCGTTCCAGTGACACGCGCATGCATCTGTAGATCGATCGAGATGAGCATCATCAATCGTCGTGGTCATGGCTTTAGCTGGTAGGGCGACTGGAAATTCGGGGGGATCATGTATTCATGTGGATGTGTACACTTTCTTCTCGTCTCATGGGTTCAAGGCTTCAAGTAATGGTGATGTTGATGTGGCATGTGAGTCATCCTATCACATTTGCTTGCTACTATGATAATGCTGGTTTTTTTTTTTTTTGTCTCTATGATGCCTATCTGTACACTGAGCTGTGGTTTACCCATGGGTAATTTGGACTGATATCTGTACATTACGAGTGGTACTAGGCTATGCTAGAGAGGTAACGGAGTACTCCCTTTATCCGAATATATAAGTACACCTAATACAGAATGTGAATTCATAGTCTAAAATATATCACATCATGTGCTAGATGTATTTATATTGAGATGGAGGGAGCACGTGGTTCTTAGGTTTACCTGACTCAGATTGGTCGGTCATCTGCAACTGAGCAAAGGCCCTGTTTAATTCCAAAAAAAAAAAAATCACATTGTCCTATCGAATATTCGGACACATGCATGGAATATTAAATGTAGAAAAAAATCAATTACACAGATTGCATGTAAATTACGAGACGAATCTTTTAAGCCTAACTATACCATGATTTGACAATGTGGTGCTACAATAAATATTTTCTAATGACAGATTAATTAGGCTTAATAAATTCGTCTCGCAGTTTCCAGACGGTTTTGTTATTAGACTCCGTTTAATACATTAACTTCAAATGTATGTCCGTATATTTGATGTGACAACTAAACCTAAAAATATTCCCCAACTAAACAAGGCCAAATTACCATGGCAATGTGCATGCTAGTGATTCTCAGGATCCAGGTGAAGAATAGTTAAAGGACAGACTTGAGGATAACCGGGCAATGTGGCATGTCATTTTCCAGGCTTGAAGCGATCGGCAAAAGCTCCCAGGCCAGTGCCATCAATTGGTTCCCCCATCATGCAGTGCAGTACTAATACGTCTGCCTTCATGCACTGCGCCTGCAACATCAGCATGGTGGGCTCCAAGCACTGACGGATGCACAATCTGCAGCTATGCTGTTCTGCACTAGTGCAGCTGTGCAGAAGCAGGGACAAAGACAAACTATGAACAAACCAACGGATGAATGAACAAATCACAAATGAACATACTACTAATCTCGTTTCAGAAATAAATGAACAAACACTCTTCAAGGAAAGATAATAATGAACAAATAAATAGAGGGGGAAAGAACAAAAAGAAGCAGTGAAGAACACCAGAATTCCAGAGAAAAGGGTGCAGGAACCTAACCCGTTCCTTTCCCTTAATGGCTTTTTGCCACTGTCTGAAGTGATGTTCTTGCTCCTGCACCTAACTTGTTTGTTTTCTTGCTCAACGTTGCGTTGTTGCATCTGTTTTTTGCGCGACCACCAATTATGAGCAATGTCATTTTGTGCAGCAGCGAAGGTACATACTCCCCTGTCTTTGCCTGTCTTGCGCAATTGTCAGAATCTTATACAACCTGTATTAGTAGCTTCTATAGCGGTACGCTTAAAACACGTCACTAGTGCCAGCTCCACGCTTTATTTAGATTATTGAGTGAATTATTACCGTAAATTATCTGCTTGACAGAATTAACGAAAGGGCATGTAGCCTAGTGGTTACAGTGACCTGAGTAGTACCCAAGGTCCTGAGTTCAAATCTCCTATGGAGCCAATTTCAGATTGGGTTGTTTGTGGGGCTAAGTTTCCTATTTCAATGGCCGTATATATCCGGTTGGATATAGAGGCCGGGTAAAAAATATCCTTCTCTATAAAAAAAATAAACTCAATAAATAACTTAAAACAAGCGGTCTAAACAATGCGGTAGAAGAATTTTTTTTTGAAGTGAATTGCATCATGGACCAAGTATTATTGTCTAATTTCTATCTTGGACCAGGCCATATGCAATATTTTCACTTTAGGCAAGGGTTTGTTACCATCTAGTTGCACATTGGGCCACCATTCTGTCAGTCTATCTGTTTCCATCTGCTAGCCGACTGCCACCACTACTGCACTACGCAAGCGGCAAGCCGTTGCTTCTTCGGGCATTCACCAACTCCGGCAATGCATCCGAGAGAGAGAGAGCTAGGAAGGAGGTACGGTCGAGTGCGAGGCTGCGAGCACGTGCATCGGGCCAGTTCGCGTAGAGATAGCTTCAGCCTTCAGCTGAGCTCGAGTTACTCGGCCAGAGCAGGCGAAGAACGGCTGGAGCTCATGTGCCGACCAACTCTAATCTTCTGTTGATCAATTTTGAGGAAGCCACCCATGCTCGATGGTAGCTCGATTATACAAACTGAAAGGAAGGGGATGAGTGGACAGAGGCCAGCAACAATCGTGCGGAAGCCCTCACGGCACCTTGGCATCCTCACAGTGGTGGCGCACACACCAACAGTGGCAGCAGGCTGCTGGAGTTGGAGATGGTGGACTGGGGTGGTCCAAAGTGAAAAAAATGGTAAAGTCATATGGTCTAAAGTGAAATCTTTGTATTAGGGGTGGTCTAAGCTGAAACTCTGGTAAATTTATATGGCCTAATATGCAATTCACTCTTTTTTTTAGAGAATATATATTCCGATGCATAGAGCAAATAATCAGGTGAATAATCTAAAAGGAGCGGGTATTGAGAAAGGAAAAAGATGACAGCAAACAACGTTTTTTCCTATTTAGAAACCGGCACGCCCTTTTGCAAACGAAGCTCATTCTGTGTAAACACCTTTGAAGTAGTACTAAATTTTCGTGTAGGCACTTCGTTCCCACGACAGTTCAAGAAGAAAAAAAAAGAGAGAGAAGATAGTATAGTTTTAGGGCCCTTTTAATCGTAGGAATGGAAAAACAAAGGAATAGGAAAAAAATAGAATTTTGGTAAGAATTCATAAGTAAAACAGAAGATTGCAAAATGCATGGAAAGCACAGGAATAACTGTTTGACTAAACCGTGGAAAAAACACAAAAATCATAAATCATATTAGAAAGATCGACTCAAAAGGAAATTTTTTCAAAGAGGTTAAAGTTATTGTTAAGTTTCCTCCAAAATCTCTACAAGATTATCCATTCCATAGGATTTTTCAAAGGATAGGATATGATTCAATCATTTTTCAAGTATCTTCATAGGAATTTTTCTACAATATTAAAATCTTCTAAAATTCGTATGTTTTCCTGCAAATCAAAAGGGTCCTTGGCACGTTGTTATGACAAGAAACAAGGATAAGCTGTTTCTTGTACTATTTCTAGATATAGCCGGTCCTATTTCTGTGATTGGAATGATCTCACAAGTCGCAGGTCTATTCTGTAGTAGGTGCAGTGATGTTGCAACTACTACTAATTGCGATGTAGATGGGCGTCTAGCCAGCATCTTTTGTTGTTGGAACGCATTAATCACTTCAGAATGGTAAATGAAAATGCCAACAATTACAGATAAAAACTGGATGCGGCAGATAAAGGAACAAATCGAGTCAAGCTTGCAAAGTTGCAAACCAAGATCCCAGGCAAAAATAAATGTTGCTTATAACCTACAGTTTAACCAAAACTGTGCATGTGCTCTGGATTCTATGACAGATCCAATAATACAAGCAGACCCATGTGCGCATGGAACGTGCGCACACATGGATAGAATTCATTCCCTGATTGCAATTTACATATATGCAATCAACTCGATAACACACGCAATGGAAGATTATACCATGCTCTGACACACGGTCAGTATAATACGAGAAAACTTCAGACACCAGCAGGGAATTTCTGCCCAGAAGTAGGAGTATATCACACAAATAAAGAATTCAATTATATTCAGATGCATGACTGGACAATTCAGAATTGCAAACTTAACAAAGGGATAATAAAGCAAACATCCACCCTGCAAACCATACTACACACTTAAAGACCTCTTTATGGTTTTGATAATAAGGCAAGCTCCAGCGATATATGAACAAATGAGGGGAAAAAACAAGCACCACACACTCTACTTCATATCCAGCGATAAAAAGATTTGAATCTGAAGTCGGTTTGGTTGTTCTAGATTTCTTGGGCTATGCCAAGATCCATTGGCATTTCACTGTCCCCCTACAAGTACAAATGAACTGATTAGCAAGACAAGAAATATAATGAGATTTTCCAGAAAATGTATTGTTTATCTCAATTGCTGTTACATCATTGCCACCCTTACCATATTCTCCTTATCTTCATTTGTCACCTCCTTCACCACATCAACTGAAATATAAATTCACCACACCAACGATTGACAACAATTCAGTAATTGTGGAGTTATAACAGGTGTGATATACTGATAATTACAATATCTGAAATACATGATGGCACTTACCAGGTTCTTGCTCTGTACCAACTGGCAAAGCCTCGCTGCCTCCATTGCAATCTTCCTTCTGCCCCTTGACCTGCTTCTTGGCTTTCTTACCAGTATTCTTGGTGATGGCTTCTTTTGCAGGATTCCGGTTGTAGGAGCCTCTAACCTTTGCATCAGGCTTCTTCTGAATGTTGTCTTTTTTAGCTGCTTCCTTACTTTGAGCTGCATCAGAATTCAGCGATCTTGGCTTCAGATTACCCTTTGGTGACACATTGGTGGCACTATGAGCAGCCTTGTCAGACTTTTTCGGCTGTTCTGAAGAGTTCACAGTGATCTTTAGCTTCTCAAGATCCTCCACGATATTGTAAACCTGAAGAATATCCTTCACTGGTTCCTCCAACTCTGTTGCAAGGCCATGCCGGACAACATAAGCCTTTAGCTCATCTCTCATACGATCCAGAGGCTGTGGAAAAGCACACTTATTATAATATGATGATCAATGAAAGAAACTGAACTGCTCATAAATGATCACTTGATGCTCACCTCGCATTCTGATTCAAGTGCAAGCTTAAAGAAGCCCAACGATATAGAGTGCTTGGAAGCAGCCTCTGCAAGCCTGATTTGTGTCATCCAATATGAGGTTGAGGACAGAGTGCTGAACTTGCGCCTTGCTGTGGACATGGAAACTTCTGATATCGGGGTATCAAACTTCCCTTGACTATCGGACCTCCTTGAACGAACCAATGACACAGGAGTGATAGTTCCTGTAGGAGTTGGCCTGGGGCTAACACCTGGCTTGGTCTGTATTGAGTGCCTCCGTGGAGGTTTGGCTGAATTATCCTTCACCGATGAAAGATCAAGACCACAAACGCTCTTGCTGACATCCAAAGATGGTTTTGGTCTGCAAGGAATAAAACTACAAATGGTATCAAAGACAGAGCTAGTATCCAGCAAATTTTATAGTTGGCATCTAAGTAAGAGGCATTAAGTTGCTAGTCTATTTTGCTTGACATAGCACCAAACCATGAGATGCTTAGTTTCTAAGTAATACACATGTGTATGCTGGCCTATTGTTTTCCCATAAGCTTGCAGAAATATTGAGATAATGCAGCCTTGTGATAGCTAAACCTCTTAACCTCTGGAACAAACTAGTTAGGACTACCAAATCTTATCTGAGATGTAAACACAAAGATGATATGACCTAACGACCAGTATTATAGAACTTAAGAAATGAAGAGCAGACCCTGCATTCAAGTCAAGATGGTTTTTGTTTACTTTGTTTTGAATTCAAAAATATTATGCCCATGTCCTTATGAATACGCTGAGTTTTGATGTACTTAGGAGTATTTCATTATTTGGACTAATCATACTCCATAGATGGTTCAACAAGAAGTAATACAGAAACTCTATTGGTTAACCTTTCTAAATCAGCTTGTTTACATGCACTTTCAATATAGAGCATCGGTCTACCAGCCTCTTAACAAACAAAACTTGCATTACACTATGGCAAGTGGGTTGACAAGTCCTTAGAAAGTTTTTGTGACATTTGTTCTTGTTTTGCATGTTTTACTTCTTTGACAGTGAGTGCAACTCACAAATCAGATTTATGTAGTATCCAATATTGATATTAGTAGTAAAGTCCTTGCTTGATATTACTAAAAGTAAAGAACCGGAGTGAGCTGGTTGGTGCACAACCTCTGTAGATGGCACCAACTTCTTTTTTTTTCACATGGCAACTGATTTGCAGGTCTGCAGCATGAACAGTATGACATAAAGTCCTATAAGATTCATGTACACAGTACACTCCATTCGATACTTTGTTGTTCTTGCAATAAATATGTTTCGTTTACCAAACTATTTTCAGATCAATCAGCCACTTGACAACGTAAATACCCATCTAATTGCTAGCTGTACACGTCTGTGCTACATATTCTGGAAACAAATAAATCATTTGCACAACACGTTGATGTAGGAAACAAAGATTTCAACGCTAATCCGGAGCAGCAAAATTCAGTTTCGCAGCAGATGTGGTTTAAATTAGATGAGAACTTCTCGTGATAAACGCCGGCATCTAACATGTCCTTGTAACTAAATAAGCGAAGGCAAATCACTGAAAATTCCAACCGACAAAAGTATATTCCACAAACCAACATGCCAGATTTCACTCGCATATAGAAATTGCAGCTTCGAATAGGAGAGACAGACCTCCTCGCCACGGAGCCGCTCGTCGGAGGAGCATCGGCGGCGCCCTTCCCCCGGCTCGCCGACCGGAGCGGGTACCTCAGCTTCGACGCCCTCGCCGCGGAACCTGCACGACCAAAACCGGCACATCACACCCACCGACCAAACCACACGCATCTCCCGCCTAAACCCCAATCAATCAAACAAACAGAAAAAAAAAAATCCAATACCCGCCGACTGATCGCCGGAAGCCGTCGCCATGAGCCCGATCGAACCCAACGAATCAGCCGCCGCCTTCTCAACCTCCCAACTCCTCCTCAACCTTCTCAAACCCCAAATTCGAAAACTGCCGGCGCCGATCGATGCGGACGAGACGGGAAACGAGTTCTGCGTTTTGGAATGGCTAGTGCTACACGTTGTATATAAATAAAACTCCCACGCGGGGCTGGGAAACCCTACACGCGAGGAGGAGATGTGTCTCGCCGACGTGCGGGCCCGGGGGTGGTGCCGTTGGTCCGTGGGCCCACGTGTCAGTGAGATGGGGTAGGGGAGGGTCGCGTGGCGTGGGGTTTGAGGGGAGCGCCGGAGCGGGGGGAGGGGCCCACGGGAAGGGCGTTTGAATCGCGTGGCGGGCGGGAAGGAGGCGTGCGCTCGGCGGAATCGGGAAATTTTCGAACGAGGGGGGGAGGCGTGGGGTGCGTGGGGGCGTAAATGGCGTTGTTAAGGGGCCGTGGGCCTGTTTGGTTAGCTGTTACCCGGGGCCCATGTGCTCTACCTAGTAATGGAAGTTACAGTTGTGTATGTGGTATACAACGGAATTCTGCTGGGACAGAACGAAAACCGTTAGGTATGAGATCATGATATTTTTGAGATATCAGGCGATACTTGCAAGGTATCAAATGATTTCTATCACATATCAGGTGATACCTGTTAGGTATTAGGCGATTCATATCACGTATTAGATGATACTTGCGAGGTATTAGGAGCCGGGCACCAAAGCATCATCACCGGTGGTCCCACCGTCCACGCTACATCGGAGCTCGTCGTTGGCGGCCGCCACGTCGGAGCTCGTCGATGCCGGCTGCGTCCTCCGTCATCCACGCCCCACGCCAGAGAGAGCCCCTTCCCCTTCTCCGGCGATGTGCTCCCTGATGGCGAGGTGAGGCGAAATAGAGAGGCGATGTGCTCCTCTCTCTCTCTCTCTCCTTCCTCCGCCAGCAAGCCCCCTTCTTTCTTCGTTGCCACATGCCGCCGTTGCGCTGCTCTGCTGCCACGCTTAAGTGCTATGGGACGAGGAGCAAGACGATTCCGTCGTGGGCACTGTGAACGGTATTCCCTCATTTAGCATTTCCTTTTAATTTTGTTACTGATTTTTAGGATGGAGTCATTGGCTCCATATCCATCATTGCAAACTATACAACTTTTGAACTATACAAGATCACTCGTATAATTAAAAAATGGAGTTTGGGCTCATTCTCTATAGGAGGAATCTTGTATAAATGAAAAATTGTCTGGTTTACAATGATGGATATGGCGATGACTTATATTAATACTCAAGCAACGGAGATGGCGAGCTCGGTGACTAGCGGAGCAAAATTGGCGCGCCCATCGACGGAGCGCGTACCAGACAGAGCAAGTGAGGCGGCGATTGCCTGACGAGTCAGTGGCGGAGCCACGTTCAACTCAGGTGGTGCACAGGAACACCACCCCCCTCCCCTCCAAAATTCTTATGCAAGAACACTAAAATGTGCAGTGATGCATTGATTTTTTTTTTAGGCTTTCAATGGTAGTGCACCACCTCTGTTTGGACGCTAGCTCCGCCCCTGTGACGAGCTCATACGCTGGCACACGCCAAGAGCGAGTTGCCGCCATAGATGATGGCGAATCGGGACGGCGGAGCCCGAACAGCCGGCGGCAGGCCGTCGCAAGCTCGAGCGGCTGGCAACCTTGGTTGCTTCTGCTTCTTGCTTGTTTGAATTGGATTGCTTCTTACTCATGTCCTCCATAGTTCTTGCTCTGCTTGTGTTCGTGAAAAGGTTCTTTCTCGATAGCATCTGCTTGATTGCCTCGATGTTATCCCAAGGAAAACGTAAATGAGGTTGGAGTAAATTGAATTTTTCCTGTGTGTTTTCCCATGAAATCAGCAGCAAAGGAATCTTTTCTTCAAATTTCGTACGAGTGGTTTGCGTGATCCGAATGATAGGAAAGAAAAAAAAAATCTCTGTGAACAGTATTTTCCTAAAATTCCTATGAAAAACATGTAATCCGAAGTTGATATAGCTTTAGACTAGCATGTGGTTGAAGCGCAAACCATATCTTACCTGCTGCACTGAAAATGTTAGTATTTCCTTTGTTTTTTAATATACGTCGTTGACTTTTTACATTATATCTGAACGTTCATTTTATTAAAAATATTTACTTATTTTTTCTTTTGTTGTGGATTGATTTATTACTATAGTAACATTAAGCATTATTTGAAATTTTTAAGATTTGCACAAAAGTTATAACGAAAGTCAACAATATCGTATATTAAAAAACAAAGGGAGTAATAAACAAGTTCTTCACAGTTGTGCTGTTGTTTCAGTAGGGAAAATAAACCTACTGCATGGTGACAAGTGCAAGGAGTTAATTTACCACCAATTTTTTTGACTTCAACACGGGAAACCCACTGCATTCCACGGGTAAAAGAACCCTGTGCAGATCTCACCTGGACCAGACTCAGACGGGTCAAGGAGACGACTGTCTACCGGTGAAGTCAAAAGGAACTGATTAGTTGTATTGAAGCCTACTGATGGGCTACTCGGTTGCTTCTTGCTTCATCACAAAGCAAAATCATATCCCTGCCCTAATTTAATGGCAGCATGATCGCAGCTAATCTGGAGCACGTAGTAATAATAATAATACTTAGTGCGCAGCGTTTTGACAATTTGGCATCTTCGATCAGATCCAACACTATTAATTATTAATTAATGTCTGTAATTGGAGAATGGAAGAACGATGATACTTCCTGGAAACAATATGTTAACACTCTGTGCCACATGGACGTCATACTCATACCTGTAGGAACTTGTGTTAAGATGTAAACGCAGATAATTACAGAACTAGGGATTGAAGGTATTATAGGCCAGCATTTGTTAGGAATTACCAGCTCATCTAGCGGAGAATTCTCGTACGAAGGAATACTCATGCATTGCTTGAAGAAACCACACTCGGTCATGTCATATTTTGAACATCCACGGAGCCAAAAGGATACTCCCCTCCCTAAATAAGTCTATTTTTATATATGAATATATCCGTATTCACGTATAAAAGTAGACTTAATTATTTAAGTAACAAAGAAAATATCAACACTTATTTTAAGTATTTAGCTTGGACAAACCATATCAAAATCCTAAAACAAGTAATCTAAATAAGTAGACCAATTGTCGCAAGAGGGAATAATGGACATTTGATTATTAAGATTATTTTCGCGGATCATCTATTTAATTATAGAGATAAATTAAATATGTTAAGAAAAAAATTAAAGAAGATAGCTTAAAATAACACAGCCAAACAATATGCAGTAGATAAACGTATATTGAGAAAACATATCTTCTGAAAATTAGAGCATATAATTCGTTTGAATAAGCTAAAAAGAACATGGCAAAATCGAAAGTGACTGTGGGCAGCAAATATGCAGCTTTACAGCTTCACAGCAAAGTGGGTGTGTTTAGTTCACGTCAAAATTGAAAGTTTGATTGGAATTAGAACGATGTGACGGAAAAGTTAAAAGTTTGTGTGTAGAAAAGTTTTGATGTGATAGAAAAGTTAAAAGTTTGTTGAAAAAGTTGGGAACTAAATCAGACCCAAGCGTCGATCAATTTCCAAGTAACAAATTTTTTTGAACCTTGAAAACAGAGACACCTTATAATTATCCAGGAAGTGTGTAAATTAAATAATATGCAGTCAAATACTCGAATGCAGTTTCATGTGGGTCATTGTCAGTCAGCACGAGTATTTGCCAGGTAAGTATATATGGTTCGGATACCACACGAATAAGATATTAATTCCCGGTGCATTCGTCCTACCATTTTTTTTTTAAGAAAAAATCATGAACTTTGATTTGATCCATGTGTATTCAGAGTAAACGTTAGAGACATGATGTGCGATTTTTGAATGTTTGACTTCGCGGCTTGCATGAATTGTTTTGTACCTTTTGTGTTGAAGTTATTTGCCGAGGATTCATTTGGAAATTTCCTACACATCTATTAACGCGGTTAATTGATTTTTCAGACAGCAGAGAATATACGTGCACACCGCTGAGCCTTTTTCTTTTTTCCCGTTTGCTTATTACAGATTGATCTACCTTCTTCTTGCAAAAACATCATTGTGCTGCCAGTAGATACAAAACCACGGTGACGGTGCACAGCAACTAACAAATACTTATTATTTTTAAGAAAATAAAATTCTACATGTACCTAAAATCTTCCTCCAACTATTTACAAAATTTCAAATTCATGTACATTATAAAAAAGCAGGGAAAAAAAGAAAGAACTAATATATACTTCCATACTCTTTAAACTCTATGTTTTTGTTTATTCTTTTAACTGCTTGAACATAATGACTTTGAATTAGAATTCTTTTTTCAAATCCTTGGAAGATGTATGCATACACCGCACTCGCATGCTCGCGAGTATGCCCTTTTAACTAGGGATGAAACTGGTTCGGATAGTTTCCGTCCGTCCGGACCATTTTTCGGATTCGGATAGTTTCGGTCGGAACTATCCAGAAATTCTTGGATTCGGAAACGAATTCGGATTTTTTTTTCTCGGAAACGAAAACGAATACAGTAAGGGTACTATCCGTCGGAATCGGAAAACGGTCGGAAACTATCCGGATTTTTTTTCGGATATCCACAGACATTGATAAAATTTTAGAAAAAATACGTATATATACATAACTTTTTCATACGGAATCAGATGAAGACAAACTTTATATCAACATTGTAGAGCTTGATGAGATCTACAACTTTTTTATTGACTATTTTATTATTTGAGATCATTTAAGGGTCTAAATATTTATTATAATATACCATATTAATTTTTACAAAATCTCAGATCTACAATTCAAACGACATCTGATGGAGATGTGTTCTATATCAAAGTTGTAGAGCTCAACAGGATCTACCACTTTTTAGTTTATAACATTTATATTTGAAAGCATTTAAAGCATAAAACAAATATTGCAAGTTTCGAAAATGTGAAGTAAAATAAATAACATCTCCAATTTATACAATGGCAAGTAAGTTATACATCTAATAAAAGGTCTTGAGAATAGAAAATGATAATCATATTTGCATATGGATCTCTTAGAGAAACAACCATGAAAATTGATTTTCACATACGGTTGTGAGACCATCTACAAAATTGACGATATAAATGTTGGAGATGTTGAACTAAAATAATAAGTGATATCTCTTCCTTGATTAAGAAACTCAATTTGAGGGGCTTTTTATATACCGGTAAATATTCGCTACCGTATTCGATCCGTCTCGTATTCGCTCCGTATCTGTATTCGATAATATTCGATTTCATTTCCGTATCCGAGTTTTCGATTCCGATTCCGATTCCGAAAAAAAATATGAAAAAAAAAATATGATAAAGCTAGTTTCCGTCCGTTTCCGATCCGTTTTCATCCCTACTTTTAACACACGGTCAATACACCACATACAATATAATTGTGAGTTTACGCTTTTAAAATATGTGTATACACATAGGGAGGACAGATAAATCACTGCACCAGAACGTAGGTACCGAGATTTTTACTCTAATGTTTGGAGTTTGGACCAACACAACAACCCTGTGCTTCTCAATATGAAGTCGAATCTAATAAAGCGCTATGCTACGCTTCACTTTAGCGAGGATAAAAAAAATAGGAGAGCTGAAAAACTAATAAAAATACTAGAAAACAATATACCGTTTCAACAGAATAACTGACGCTTAAATACTAAGATATATTTTCTATAAGATATCATATGATAGTTTCTACGAGATATCATGTATGATACCCTTGGTACCAAATCTAATACTTACGGTACCATGCTGACACCATCATGATACATAGATACCAGAGTCTGAGACAATACCTATCTACTAATACGGTATCATAGGTACTGGATTTGGTACCTAATATATTGTGCTGATATAAGCACAAATAAACTAATATTTTGTTGGAATGGTATAGTGCTCCGTAATAACCCTCGTATATAATGGTATATATGTAAAAGAAAATAAAGAAAACATATAATGGCGGGAAACATATCTAATGTACCCCTCCCGTTTGCTCCTATAAAATCCCCCCACCCCCAGGTCTTAACGGCTAATAAACTCTCTCTTTCTTCCCTTCCTCCAACTCCCAACCAGTCAACCACCAGAAGCGAGAGAAAGAAAACCGAAATCACGCGAACCGCCGCCGCGTGACGCGATGGAGCCCTCGGCGGCCGTCGCGTCGAGGCCACCGAGCTTCACCGCGCAGACGAATGCCCTCCTCCGCAAGAATCTCATCTTCCAGGTTCGGATCCCCCTTTTTCCATCCAGCCATTTCTTTCCTCTTCGCCTTAACTGCTATGATCTGTTTGGTACTCGGATGAGTCTTCTTTGTTGTTCTGATGATATGCCTTAGGGAAAAGAGGAAACTGCAAGATGGTCAGTACAAAATTTCACTTGTTGTTTTTTTTTCAAAAAAAAGGAACAGCAAAATTTCGGCATAATTTGCTAGTTTTCGTTGTTCTTGAAGTGTAGGCGTCAACTTGTTCTGGTGAAGTCGTGGGCTTGAGTTATGTTTATTCAGAATATTCTCTTGTCGTCGTTGTTGACTTTTTGGCATGGCCGTCGTCCCTTGATTTATATTGATGTCAAAATGGAAAGAATTTGGGACCAATACGCATCCATCAGCATAGGTGAATTTCCTTGATCGTTTGAATTATAGATGTTTGGAACGCGAAGAGGCGCACTGAAATCCCTTTTGTTTTTGTGCTTCATATTTCACTTCGATGGCTGTTTCTGTAGATTATTAGTGTCAACTGTCAAGCGTCTTTTACATTTCACACGATTGCAATTCGTTTTTTATTAATTGCACAAACTGGTCGTTGAGTCAAGCTAATTAAGAAGTGGCATCCATGTTTGATCGTTTCTTGCAGAAACGAAACAGGAAAGGAACCATTCGGCTAATCATAGTTCCGATATACCTCTGCCTCTTGCTCACCATTCTTCAGAGAGTCATCAACAGCGTTCTTGACAAGCCCAAGTTCAGATGTGGTTGCAAGTGTGTTGATGTCAACGGCACAGGCTCTTGCCAAAATGTGTGTGGAATTCAGTACTCTACACTGGATCAGGCTGGCAGTTGCCCCATACCGAACCCCCCGGAATGGCCTGCTCTCTTGCAGTTACCGCGCCCTGAGTATCGCGCCATGCAGGAATCCTCCTTGTATGCAGGTTTCCCAGATGTATCATGCAGAAAATCACAATCTTGCGCAGCTACTATACCCTTCACAGGAGCAAATGAGACCCTATCTAACAGTAAGTAATCTGTAGTTCTGTACCATCTACTTCTTTAAACCTGCCTCAAAATCCACTTAGGACCCCTTTAGAAAAATGCTTAGGGCTTGTTGGATGAAGAAGTGAGGCATGATTCTCTTATTATTTTTTTGTTTTCAGTAATGATGAAATAATGATTATATGACTTATCTGAGAGAAGGAAAATCTGTTAAGCTGTAGTGTGTTCACCATATTCCATAATCCACTAATTTTTGCCCATTTGTTTGGCAGTTGTCATGCAAAATTTGTTCACAAGCTCACCGCTTTCAAATCTTTCTGATAATGCGAGCATATCCAGTCTTCTCCTTGTAAGTTGAAATAACCATATTATTACTTGTATGGCTACTTTTTTTTAAGGGTGAACATCAAAGAACTTACTCTATTATCATGTAACTTCCAGGGGACAGATGTACCGGGTACTTATACAGGCTTCATTGAACCCGCTTTTGTCTCAGATCGACCCATATATGTTCTTAGACCTCAATGCAAAGCCAGTGATTCAGTTACAGTCCCCATTACGTTTGGTGATATTAATATTCGGAAAGGTAAAATTCTTATTATGTATCGCTTCTACTGTTTCTGAGTAGATTAATCTGAAATAACAATGTTGGCAAACTGATGAGGTTGTCAGATTATTAACCTGATACCATGACAGACTTGTGATTGTCATTGTTTGCCATAAGAACCATCAACCTCTGTGCACTCCTTCAATGACATTCTGCATATTACCGTTTATGTGCCTCTTGTTTTGTTGAATGTTTTTGGTTGAAAATGACTTAATATCTGAACTTCAAATTCTGTTTTAGCAGAGATGTTATGTATTCAAGGTTTACCCTTGTGGAGGAATAGTTCAGCAATAATAAATGAGGAAACCTTCAACGGCTACAGGAAAGGGAAAAGTCAGGAAGGGATAAATGAGATTCCAATGGGTATGCAGGCATTTCTTACCTATGCCATTAGTTTATTATTGCATCATATGCTGGCATTAAAGGTGCAAATAACTCTAATTACTTCTGTTATTACAGCCTATGATTTCCAAGACTCAAACGAGAAGCATTTCAGCGTGTTAGCTTTATATAACTCAACTTATCAGAATGTGTCTTATGTTCCAATGCCATTTGGACTTCTGCATATCTCGCGCTCCTTGAACGCGGTGGGTCTCACTTCATAAAATTGACCTTTTATTAGGGACAACCATAGACTAGTGGTAGATCATAGTTGAGATAATGGGTTCAAGTTACCACTCTTCTTGAAATCAAATATATCTGTTTAATTTGTAAAGTGGATCTCTCATTCTTATTTTTCTTGTCTGCCAACCCACTAAAAAGTTTGAAACATTTTTATATTTCATTCTGCAATCATTTATGGTTCATAACAAATTGACAAGAAGATCCAAGGAAACATGACATCTGATGTGAACCAGAATATTCATAATACTAGAAAACTGTAGGCTGTAATAATCCAGGAGGGTTTAAAACTTATGAGCACGCATAATCATGTGTTTTCGGCTTGTTCTCTAGTAAGTATAGTAGCACATTATGAATTTATTAGGGACAATACCTTTCTTGTCCTTTTTACACTATAGTTTTGAAATTTTCTACTCTGTTTAGAATATTGAAGGATCAAAACTGATCCCATTATCATTATAGTCATATCATACTTCTGAAAAATATCTCTAACTTGGCAATACTATTATGCAAAGCAGTCAGGAAGCTATACAACTCAGTTCTACCAATAACATATGTTTCTGGGCATCTGTGTAGGTCTCAAATGCATATCTCCAGTTTCTTCGAGGATCAGGTGTAAAAATGTTGCTTGCATTCACAAAAGAAATGCCTAAGCAAGAGACTCGTTTGAGATTTGATTTTTCTTCTGTTATCGGCCCTCTCTTTTTTGAATGGGTTGTTGCCTTGCTTTTCCCGGTAAGTGGCAACAAATTGATAGTGGTCTTCCCTTTTGATATAGTAGCTATGAATTTGACTTGTTAACTAGTCCCTCTCAGGGTTTCTTAATAGTTAATAGTAAGTAAAATATTGATCCTCATATTAGATATATTGAAGTGGAGAAAAGTAGAGAACTGTTAGAACAAATCATGATCAGTTTTATAATTCATGATGAAAATTTGAGATTTAATGCAGGTTATGTTGACATACCTTGTATATGAGAAGCAACATAAGCTCCGAACAATGATGAAAATGCATGGACTTGGGGATGGCCCTTACTGGATTATCTACTATGCATATTTCCTTATTTTGTCCATGGTGTATTTGGTTCTATTTGTCGTTTTTGGATCCGTTATAGGTAGGAAGCTATTCCCAACGGTTATTTTCAACAATCATTACTTGATTTGACCCATTTTATCTAACTCAGTTGTAATTTGCAGGTCTAAACTTTTTCAAGATAAATGACTACAGTATCCAATTTGTTTTCTTTTTTAGTTTCATGAACCTGCAGATTGTACTAGCCTTCCTAACTGCAACCTTCTTTTCTAAAGTCAACACTGCTCAAGGTACAACAAACCTATACCATTTATCTCCATATCCGTGACCTATTCTGTACTGCAAAATATATGATGTTTCTTGTTTCTTATGTTCTTTCCACCAGCAATTGCATACCTGTACATATTTGGATCGGGGTTGATTGCAGGATCTCTTATTCGCAATTTTATTGAAGGTGGCAAGTTCCCAAGTAAGTTTAGCAAATATTACCAAATGGATGTTTTTAACAATCACATTACCTTCATTTGAATATTATATCACAGTTTTCACTATGCCATAGCAAGGCAGCAACAGTTTTTAAACATAAGTAAACTAGCCATATGGGATGCCTTTCCTGCTGCTAGCAATTTATTTTGATAAATGGGGCTGAAATAATTGCACAAAATTTTCCTGTTGTGTTACTGCAGAGCACTGGATTACAGTTCTCGAGATAATACCTGCATTTTCTTTGTATCGAGGACTATATGAGCTTGGCCAATATGCTATTAGGGCTTCTGAAGCTGGAAGTCATGGCATGAGATGGAGTGATCTAAATGACCATGCAAATGGAATGAGAGATGCGCTGATTATTATTATTCTAGAATGGTTGGTTTTGCTTCCTGTTGCGTACTATTTGGACCATTCTGCTTCAGTTGGACACAAATCTAGTTTCCTTTCCCTAATAAAAAATCTGCTGAAGAAGAACCCAACTTGGAGAAGGGTATCTATTAACGAAGTAGTTAACGACGCTGTTCATGTAGAAATGGTGAAGCAAGATATTATTAAAGAAGTAAGTTTCTTATAGTTCTTATATTGCACTCATCAGTCTTTCAGACAGTTCAATCTCCCACCTCAATGCATTTTTTTTTGAGGGGAAACACTACTAGACTTACCCAGTAGTTATAAATTTTATAAATAAAAAAGTCCATATTTACATGAAACAGAAAAGAGGAAAAGGAAAAGAAACACACAGCAAAGTTCAATAAGGTCTGTAAATGCATTGCAATTTTTTACATTGCAATTTCAGGATTACCTATAAGGCTGCAATATTTTTCAACAAACTACTCTACATAATTATGTATATCATCCAGTACTAATTTACTATATTCATTTCTTGGGAATCACATAAATCTGCATATCAGATGTTACCTACTACTTGATATCTAGTGGTTGCTAATTTTTTATGATTGGATTACAGAGGGAAACTGTTGATCAAGTACTACAACAACAGAGTAGCGGCTATGCAGTTGTCTGTGATGATCTCAAGAAAGTATATCATGGAAAGGATGGTAATCCTGATAAGTTTGCTGTTCGGGGTCTATCACTTGCTTTGCCTTATGGAGAGTGCCTGGGCATTCTTGGTCCTAATGGAGCTGGCAAGAGCTCTTTCATTAGCATGGTTTGTAATTTGATCCCTCACACGACATACTTGATCCAAACAATTGCCTAGTCATTTTCTCTTTCTTCTGCTTAAACACATAAATTATAATTGTAGGATTTCTTGTCCATGACGATTATTTTTTCTTTATAGTATTCTCTTTTATCTGTTAATGTTTTATATATTTCTGTAGAATTAATTATGCTTTATTGACCATATTTCTAGAACCACTGAATGTCCTTTTTAAAATCCCGAAATTTATAGCTTTTGCGCTTTAGTTTTCTAAATCCTATTCGGTGTTCTGTAATAATCTCTGTTTCCTTCCAACTGTTGCCTTACAGATGATTGGGCTTACAAGGCCAACATCCGGAAATGCATTCGTACGGGAGTTCAGCATACAGACTGACATGGAAAAGATATATAACAGCATGGGGGTTTGTCCACAGAATGAGTAGGATATGCAACCTACTATTGCAGATCTGTTGTGTGCATTAGCACTTGTTCATGTAAAAACACCTTCGAATTATCACCTTTTGTTTTTGCTATGTTGAATGCAGTATGCTCTGGGAAATGCTGACCGGCAGAGAACATCTCCAGTTTTATGGGCGGCTGAAGAGCCTCAATGGCTCTGATTTGGACACTGTAAGTTATATCAAGTATACCAGGTCCCTTATTTCTTCTTCTGATAGCATAATTTTTAAGGTGAAGCTAGCATATCTTAATATCAATGTACTGTCTTTCAATACTTATGCCCGTAGATGTGCTTTATTATATGGATTTTTATACTCCAAAGAAACCTTATAGGATTTGAATTAAGAACAAATGAGTGGATGCTCGAAAGCACTGAACCATGTATTAAGAATGGAAGAGTGTTTGAAGCATAAAGTGTCAAGTGCATGGGTTTTCATGGAGCAAAATACTTCTCTGAACTGAAAAAATGGATATAATCTAGATAGTCTTCCCTGATTTTCTCCATCATCCTTTTTTCATTTTCATTTGTCTTGAAATATTTTCAGTATGTGTTTTTTGACACAGTACTTCTAAATTTACTAGTATAATATACTGAATAGGACGCTTTCCTACTATTTCTATTTAGAAGCCTTTCAGAGTTATTTACTGAAATGAAAATGATTTGCAGGCTGTTAACGAATCTTTAAGAAGTGTAAATTTACTTCATGGTGGTGCTCCTGATAAGCAAGTCAGGAAGTACAGTGGTGGCATGAAGAGGCGTCTCAGTGTAGCCATCTCGCTGATTGGAGATGCTAAAGTACACCTTTCTAGCTACAGCGCTTACCAACATCTTCTTGCGTTGTGACTCATCGATAATTCCCTGCTTATGCACATTCATAAAATGGCCTCAGGTTGTCTACATGGATGAGCCCAGTACAGGATTAGACCCGGCTTCGAGGAAGAGTCTATGGGACGCTGTGAAGCAAGCGAAGCGAGACAGAGCGATCGTTCTTACTAGTAATGTTCAAACTACATACCAATTTTGAATATGATACACTACCTACCTTGTGTTTGGACATAATTTCTCTTCCATGATTGAATTAACACGCTTCCTTTTGTTCCTGTGACACATCTTTTGCAGCCCATTCCATGGAAGAAGCTGAAGTTCTCTGTGACAGGTTGTGCATCATGGTAGATGGCAGCCTCCAGTGCATTGGGACACCCAAAGAGGTTTAATCATCTCACAAACCTACTTCATAATCCAATAAAAATAACTATTGGAAGCATTGTTCCTCGAGAAATTTTATAGTATTTAAGAAAGTATATCTAGGTATCAAAATTTTACACTAAAAATTTTGGTACCTCAAGATACAAGTATCTAAAAGTACCAAGTTTTACGATAGAAAAAGTGGTACTCCCTTCTTTTTTTAATGTATGACGCCGTTGACTTTTTAATTAACGTCTGACCATTCATCTTATTTAAAATTTCTGAGCAAATATAAAAATATTTAAATCATCCTGAAAGAACATTTGATGATAGATTAAGTCATAATAAAATAAATAATAATTACATAATTCTTTTGAATAAGATGAATGGTCAAACGTATCTCAAAAAATCAACAGCGTTATACATTAAAAAGGGAACTTCTCAAGGATGGTAAAACTATCTTTGTTCCTTGCTTCATCTAAAGATTTAACACAAAAATTTTCAATGACAGCTCATAGCGCGATACGGAGGGTACTACGTGCTGACAATGACAACATCCCCGGAGTTTGAGCAAGAGGTCGAGAATCTGGCGCGAAAGCTCTCACCGAACGCGAGGAAAGTATACCATCTGTCTGGGACACAGAAGTACGAGCTGCCGAAGCAGCAGGTGAGGATCGCGGATGTGTTCATGGCCGTGGAGAATTTCAAGAGGAGGACGGAGGTCCAGGCGTGGGGGCTCGCGGACACCACCATGGAAGACGTGTTCGTCAAGGTCGCCAAAGGGGCGCAGTCGAGCGAAGAACTCTCATGATGATCTGGTGCAAAAATGATGTTTTGTTTGTGCTGTTCTGATGTACTTTGTACAGAAAGTAGGATAAATCTTTTGTCAGGCATTAGTTTGCTTATTTTTCTGTACATAAGGATCCTATGGCATGTTGTTTTTGTTCAATCTTCTTTTGGTCTTTTGTAGATAAGGTTTGTGTTATTGTGTATGTTATAGAAAAAAAGATGGTGTGTGTAGGCGTATATTGGTGATTGTATTTTATATATGTTTGTCAACTTGTTGCTGCACGTATATGTCTCTGCAAAGAATCATAAACCTTTGACCAGAAGCCTTTGAATTGATCATATTCTTTGTGTAATATAATGGGCAATTATTTTTCCGTCGTCTTGGTGACATCGCTCTCCTGGTTGTTGCACCGTTGCTTTCATTTGTACTTCAGTAGGCTGTAGCGATGCTTTTTCGTTGGGCCTGCAGCACCTGAAGTTACTGGTGTATATTTGTTCTAATCATTTTGAGACCTAAAGCGTTGTTTCCTATAGATGTGTTCAACATTCTTTTTCTAGCAAACGCACACGCGTAGCACATTAGGATTAAATTTAGATTTTCTATAATCCCCATCTAGTCAAATCAAACAATTGATAATTTGTTGGTAAGAATTTTATAAGTATGTTGTTAAAGTGAAGGTGCACATAAGACTTGTTTACGTGAATCGTAAAACACTCCCTCGCGTCGCTCTCATGCGGGCGGCCCGGGGGAAAAACCCTAGCCACCCACCCCGACACCTCCCTCCCCCCTCCCTTCTAACCGCTGGAAGCAAGCGGTCGGCCGGGAAGGTGGCGGCGGAGCTTCTCCTCAGCGTGGGAGGTGGAGCGGCGCGTTTCTGACAGGAGGCGGCAGCCGGAGTGGGCATCGGGCAGAAATGCTCCCCCTACGGCCAAATTAGGAGAGGGCAAGCTCGCGGTGGCGTGGTGGCGCGATTCGGGAGGCACGGTCCGGTGGAGGCTTGCGGCAGCGCGACAGCTGTGGCCAATGGTCCTCGCTGCGAGGACGTGCAGCTCCGACACCTGGTGGCGCTGGCGTATCGCTGTGTTCCTTGACGACATTGGCGGCGAAGGCTAGTAGGCGCGCGCGTGGAGGCACGATCGACGGCGGTGGAGGCCAGCTGCGGCAGTGGCCAGTGTAGAGGGAGGTGAGGCCGGTGGAGGCGGAGGCCCGACGCGACCGGTGGGGCCGGTGGGGGGAAGGTGGGGCGCCGTTGGAGCGGTGCAGCTATGGATAGGCAGGTGGTGGGTGAAAACCTAGCCTGGCCTTGGCTGGGCCGGCAATAATGGCGCTCAAGCGTCACTCCCTCTCCTGAGGGCGTTGTCGTGTCGTCTCGGCCTCTAGTGGGGCTGCCGGGTGAAAACCTAGTCGCGACTATTTTTGAGACCTTGACGGACGGTGGCGGCGGTCTTTCGTCACTTCTCTCCCTAGAGACATTGTCTAGGCAACCCCCTTGCCGAAGCCTCCCAAACAACTCGTGCAAGCTCATTCTAGATTCATGTCCTCTTGTGTCGACGCACTAGTTTATGCAAGTTGGCCACGTCGGAGGGCCTATGGGGGAGAGCGGTTCCATTTTTCTCTCTCACCCTCTCTTCCTCAATCCCAATGATGTAGATAGAGCGGGGGTTCCTGTCGGTTGCAAGGGTTTGGTTTTTGGGTGATCTTGGCTATAGTTCCTTTGTTGGCTTAGCGGCGGCCGATCACGCTTAGTGCTAGCCGACGCAGTGCTAGCCTTCTTCTGGGTCTGTGCGTTGGTGTTGTCGGTGTGTGGGTGGTGGTATTCTTTTTTCTTTTTCCTGGTTACGACCTTCCGGGGTTATAATCTTGTAATTTTTTCATGCTCTATCAATATGAACTTCGCACTGTCTAATGCGAGTCATTCAAAAATATATATATAAGTATGTTGTTGATAAGAATTTTATAAGTATGTGTAGCATTGCTCGCAATTTTAAGCGTTCGCTCTTGAAACTTCAAAAATACCTTATGTTACTCCATTAATGCTATTTCACGCATATGTGCCTGCAGCACATGCTCTTGGCCCATAAGGCTTGGGAAGCGAAGAGACTACCGATTCCTCTTTTCTCGTCCACCCCCTCCTATTTCTCTTTCCTTCCATTCTCATTCGACACTGTCAAAGTGGCTTGTTGTGACCTGTTGATCTGCTCCACCAGCTCCCAATAATCCCCATCTCCGGTTGCTTCCATCCTTCCCCATCTTACTGACATCCAACATTCCCTATCCGTTGTCTCCGACCACCCTCTATTCTTCCCTATCTGTTTTTCTCGGGCCATCAAGTGGGCACCCCTAGGTCCTTTGACCCTAGCACCGCTAGGGGTTGTGATGTCAACCATCAACCACTGCTCCCTGCTACAAGGACTCTATCTCTTCGTTCTCTCTGTCACAGCCAGGGCTGCATCATGCTCGTGTCGGCCTCTCCGAAATAGGAGGCGACCTTTGTGATAGCGCCCAGGAAGGCAACGATGGTTGTGGCTGTAGGAGCCGTGGGATTTTTTTTATTTAGATGGAAGTTTTGGATTTTTTAGGTGAATCTTTTTATATGGAAGTTTTAGTTTTAAATCTTTTTGTATGTTGTGTGGAAAGTTTCACATCTTCAATTGGAAGTTTTGTGATTTTGATATGGAAGTTCGGGATTGGAAGTTTATGATTTGAGATGAAAGTTTCATATTTTAGAATTTCTTTTTTTGATTTGAGGTGAAAGTTTGCAACACAAATGGAAGCTTCAAAGATCAGAGTTTGACTTGATGTGCAAAGGAGGCGTAGTGTGAAGCAAAATCACTTATGTATGTGATGCGAAAAGGAGGCGTGTGACTTGTTGCTAGCGTAGTTGGTCTAGTTAATTCTAGGAAAACTCCTATATTACCGTCTCAACTATAACCCGATTTTCTCCCTAAAATCAAAACCAGATAATGGGCCTGTTTGGGGGAGTTTCTAGCAGCCCCAAACAGTCCAGATTTTTATCTAAATTCTGAGAATCCATAGTTGTATAATGGAGAAAATGAACTATAGGATATAAGCTGAGTTTTTTTCTAGATTTTCACAAGCTGTTTCTCATAATCTTAATGGCCTGTTTAGTACAGCTCCAACTCCTAAATATAACTCCAGGAGTTGAGTCTGGAGTGGAGTTGTGGAGCTGCCTAAACCCAGCTCCACAACTCTAATATATTTTGTGAGAGAGCTTCACCTAACTCCACTTCCAGTTTTGGTAGAGCTGAAATTGATTGGCTGAGCTCCAGCTCCAGGAGGGGTGGAGTTGGAGCTGGAGCTGTGACAAACAGGCCCTAAGTTCCAAAAAGACCCAATGTATTCTTTAACAGTAAAACCCTAAATCAATTTATCTGTTGGCTCAAGCCCGGCCCGTGAGCCCCCGAACCCATTCATCATCCCACTAGCGTTAGCGTAGGCGGAATAGCATCCTAGGGCGCACGCGTCACGCCCCGTCCCTCCTCCCCCATCTCTCCTCTCTCGAGGAACTCAATCACGCACAAAAATTACCAGATTACCCCCAACCCCATCATCTCCGATCTCTCTCTCCACCGCGGCGTCTCTCTCTCTCTCTCCTCCCCCACCCCCAACCACCACTTCCTCCATCACCAAAGCGCCGCTCCCTCGCCGTCGCCGCCACCTCCGCCGCCGCCGCCGGTGCCGGTCGTCGAGGCGGGAGGACTCCTCCCCGCGCGCCGCGCTCGATCCGTCCGCTCCCCAGTACGCCCGAGGTGAGGCCCGTCCCCTTCGATTGGTTCCTTCCTTCGCTCTCACTTTTCCCTTCCCCCCAGTCTGGAATCCCGGCGACTGACCCCCCCTGTTTCGATCTCCGTGCGCGGGGGAGCGGTCGATCCGGTCGGTGAATGCGGCCGGGGTTAGCTTTGGGTCGCCCCGCTGCTGGTGGCTTGTCGAGAGTGGATAGGCCCTAGGGTTCATGTGTGACTTTTTGCGGCGCGCCAATCCGTAGTAAGCATGAACACACTGATAGGTTCTCTCTTTTTTTTTTGCGAAGTTTGTTGAGATTTAGAAGAGAGTTTAGGTTACAAATACGACATTAATCCCGCAAGCAGCTGCCCCGGGGTAAAAGATTACTAGCATCCCGTCCAGGACGAGCCTGACTACCCCACTGATAGGTTCAACCGGCGTATGGAACCTCGAGGATAGGTTCTCTTTGTGTATAGAACACACTGATAGGTTCTCTTCGTGTATGGATTATCCAACGGGGGATGGATTGAGCCTTCCATTGGACGTTTGGCTCTGTGTGCTGGTTGCTAGATTGGATTTAGAATATGAGAGTCATGAATCGTGTTGCATTATTATACTAGTGAAATGGATTGTTTCTTCACTGAGCTATGTGTTTCCTACAGTGATGCATCTTCTATAAGCTATCGCGATTGTTTCTTTAACAGATTAAGCGTGGTAGTTGCTATGTTATGTATCAAGAGAGAAGGAAACCTTCACGCATATATGTGGTTTTAATGGTTAATGTTTGCAATGTTCTTGAGGCATACAGTTCGTACACATGGAGATTCTTTACCGATTGTTTAGAACAACCGAGTTAGTTCAAGCAATGCATATATAAAGCTTGAAATGGACCTTTTATGTTCTGCTCTGTAGTGGGAACACATGCACTGTGAGTGATCTTGGATTCTGGGATCAGGCTTACATGATCATTTCGTTTCCTCCCATTCTTTTGATTTCAGTGTCAGGAGGATATGACTATGTTAGGTCATTTTGGCGTGTTCTAATGTTGTTATTATGCAGAATAGAACTCTGCAACTTGTCGTTCAGCATTTTCTTGTCCCAAACATATTTCACTTACCTGTAGCATCTAGACAATGTTCTAATCTTTTGATGTTTTTATCTCAGAAACAAGGAGAAAAGTTAAATACCTACCGTTGTATGGTTTACCATTGTACTCTTTCTGTAGCTTCTTGATCACTAAATATTTACATTTACAGTTTCTGAACCTGTGTTATGCTTGCTGCAATTCAACGCAGACTGATTTAATAGCAGTTAGACTCTATCATACATCTTTCAAAAAAAATTTCTTTCTGGAAGTTTTCTCAATGAACTACTTACATATCTGTGGTTTTTTGACTTGGTACAGGGCAGTGATACTCTGCTGCTTAGTTGGGTGCAGTGTGCACTACAAGTCTACAACAATGGAGCTTGACAGTCTAAGAGAGGCGTTTGATCGAGTTATTGAAAAACGTGCTTCCTCTTCTGCTAAAGCTCAGGAAGTTATTGATCAGATAGTGAGTGAAGTTGAGCAGGCAATCACGAAGATGCAGATGATGAATACAGATTCCATGGGTACTGCTGACCATTCATCCATCCTGGCAGAATTGAAAGCCAAGTTGAATGAATTGGCGCCACTAAATCAACTAGAAGGTTGTCAAAAGGAATTGAATGTTGCACTTAGCAAATATCTCAAGCTGCTCGAGAAGTCTTTCAGTCCAGACATATCGAAAGCATATCGAAATGTGGATTTTGAGGCCAGTACTATAAACAGCATAATAGCAAATCATTTCTACCGCCAGGGCCTTTTTGATCTTGGAGACTCATTTGTCCGTGAGTGTGGTGAATCAGATGGGGCACACTTGAAACTACAATTCCAAGAGATGTATTCAATTCTTGAAGCAATGCAAGTTAGAAACCTCCAACCTGCTCTCAGTTGGGCTGCCAAGAACCATGATCAGCTTTTGCAGAATGGTTCAATGCTTGAGTTGAAACTTCATCAGCTTCAGTTTGTTGAGATACTAACAAAAGGAAGTAGAGATGAGGCTTTAAAGTATGCAAGAACTCACTTAGTGCCCTTTGCATCCTTGCACAAGGCAGAGATCCAAAAGCTAATGGCCTGCCTTCTCTGGGCTGATAGGCTTGATCAGTCCCCTTATGCCGAATTCATGTCATCGACTCATTGGGAGAAGCTAGCAGAGGAGCTTACCCATCAATTCTGCAGTCTTTTGGGGCAATCTAGTGAGAGCCCACTTGGTGTGGCAGTATCAGCTGGCTTTCAAGGACTTCCAACCTTGCTGAAGCTAACGACAGTGATGGCTGCCAAAAAACAGGAGTGGCAGGCGATGAAACAACTGCCAGTACCCATAGATATCGGACCAGAATTCCAGTACCACTCTGTCTTTGTATGTCCGGTGCTCAGAGAGCAGTCGAGTGATGAAAACCCTCCAATGCTGATGCCCTGCGGACACGTTGTGTCGAAACAATCGATAATGAAGCTATCAAAGAGCAGCTCCAGACCCTTCAAATGCCCATACTGTCCCTCAGAGGCTGTTGCTTCTCAGTGCAAGCAGCTACATTTCTGAATGTTCTTTCCCTGCTCAGATATGTTTATACACGTGTTAATTTATGTTCCTGTGGCACCCATCCAATAACTACCTTGTAATATAATCCTGTATGTTAATGAACATTCTAGTGCTGTCTCTGGATGTTAATCTGTACAGTTGCAAATTCCTGTTCGTTTTATCAAATTATATCTCTGGCATGACTGAACAGAAAATAAGTGCTACTAGTCACTCTGGCAGTCTTAGGGCTTATGATTGTGTATTGGTTTTACAGCCATGTAGATCGGTCAAATCATGTGTAAAATTGGCAGTGAGCCTTTCTGTTTAAGTTTCCTGCTAAACATGGTAATGAACATTTATCTGGCCAATTGATACCGAATAGATTGCTGCTATTAGCTTATCTTTTTATAAGCATTTTGTGTTGTTAGTAACTTAGCATGTCTTTTGTTAGCAATTAGGGTTCGATCCATATGCTTGTCTGCTAATACTTTGTAAATTCATTAAAAAAATAAAATACTACTTCTGTTTTAAAATATAAACGATGTTGTTGACTTTTAGACATTTGTCTATTTGTCTTATTAAAAAAATAGAAAAAAATACATAATTATGGAGTATATTTATTTTGTTATGAGTTGTTTTATCTCATTTTGTTATGAGTTATTTTTATCACTATAAATATTTTAAGTATAATTTATATTTTACGTATTTAAAAAATTAAACAATATGAATGGTTAAACGCGTGCTCAAAAGCTAATGGCTTTATTTATTGAAAAACGGAGGGGCATGAAGATCGAACAAATCATACTGGTTAATCGCTTAACAAATTCTTGGCTCCGCGCCGTGTAATGTACCAATTCTCTGTTATTAGTAACAGTACGCAGGTCATCCATCTAGAAAAATGAAAATGACAAAAAAAAAAAGGTAAAAGAAAGTAGTAATAAGGATCTTTCAAAGAGAAAAAAAGAAAAAAAAAAGAAGAAAAAGCTCGCCGTGCCCCGTCACCGTCTTTTTTACCTCCGTGTCTACTTGTGCTTGATTGACGGTTGTGATTTTTTTTAAAAAAAAGAAAAAAAAAGCTCGCTGTGGTCCGTCCATCCACCGCACGGCCGGCGACACCGGCGATTGCCAGGGCTCGTCGGCGAGCGGCGGTGCCGGCCGAGGTGCTGGGCTGCTAGCGCGAGACGAAGCGGAACGAGCTGTGGCGGCGAAACGCGGCCGCCGAGGCCCAACTGTCCAAGCAGCGGCAGCACGCGGGCGGCGCCACAACCAGGGCTTCCGCGACCATGAGGTACACGCTCATTCACTCATCCGTCTGTCTGATTGATTTGTGGTTGGGATTTTGGGCTGGATTAGGCTGCGCTAGCTAGATCGATCTGAATGTGCATCCATCTACACTCTGCTCTACTTCTGATTGGGCGAATTTCGCGCTTGATTCATGCCCGAATCGGATGTCTCGGTCCCAATCTGACACAAAATCAGCCTCTAGAACATCCAGTTGGCTTCAATCTGATGCTAGTTGTGCTAATCGATTTAGCTCTGGTTGCTTGAACTGCGCTTGTAGTTATTCAATTTGAAGAGTTAAAAGGAATGTGGCACGAATGCTAATGCCACTAATTATGTTGGTTCAAAAAAAAAAAGGGAAAAGAAAAGCTACTAATATGTTACATTACTATTCTTCTATACATGAAATTGCCAAATCTTAATTTGCCTCATCTGACACCCATGTTTGAGGCTGCATGTTTGATTCTAAGAATCATGGTAGAAACCTGCCCCATTTCTGGCCGCTCTCTAGGCAATGCCATTGAACATGAGAGTCCTATTTTAACCAATGGAACGAAACACCTCTCCATCATATCGGCTACACTGATATCATCTTGTAGCATTGTGGGATCAACAACCTCGTGAGTATTATCGGGCAATGCTCTATCAACAAAATCATGCAGGGTTGTGTCACCATTAAAATTTTCATCGGTAGGACTGCTACCTGTTACCATTTCTAAGAGAAGGATTCCAAAGCTGTAGACATCACCCTTGGTTGAGATATCTTCGTTCATACCATACTCTGCATTCAGATTTATAGAAATCATAAAATTAGAAACCAGACACCATGTGTACCATAAATAGAATGAACAACTTACAAATTAGCTTATCTCACCCGGTGGAATATATCCAATAGATCCTTTTAGACAAGCCAAGCTTGTTGATATATCTTTATGTGCATTCGATCTTGTGTATACAAATCTTGCTAGGCCAAAGTCACTGACGTGTGCAACCATGTCACTATCCAACAGAATATTGCTTGGCTTCAAATCACAATGTACTAATGGCAATTCACACTGGTTATGAAGATAATCCAAAGCAAATGCTACATCCAAGGCGATATTAATTCTCTGTCTTAAAGTCAGAACCTTTGTTTGACTACTATGTTCATGGGATTTTGGATGTAACCACATATCTAGATTCCCATTTGGAAAATATGGGAACACTATAGCCTTGAAGTCTGCCCCAGTTGAATCCACAGAAGAACATAGAGTAATAATTTTCACGAGATTTCGGTGGCGGACATTTTGTAGGGTTTCACACTCGGCAACAAAGCTCTTATTAGATCCATGGATATCAAGGTTAAAAATCTTGATGGCGATATGTTCTTCCTGAAGATGCAGATTGCCCTTTTCTTTGAAAGGAAAATGCAGATTGCCCTTATAAACTGTACCAAATGATCCTGAGCCAAGTAAGTTAGTTGAAGAGAATCTATTTGTGGCCTTTAGAACATCTTCATATGTTATGTTCCTGTGCTCATTCAGCTGTTGTACATGTGGCTCTGCTTGCATTCTCTTCATACAAATAATTTTTGCAAGGCATAATAAAGTGAAAGTGATAGCAACAATTGGTATTACTATCGTTAGGACTAGAACCAATGACCTACTATGGTTCCTTTTCTTGTCAACCAATTTTGAACAAAGAGGCATACCTGTCGTTGGAGTTTCTGTGCACAGATGGTCATTTCCTTCAATTGACACCACACTAGCATTGGCAAAAATACCACTGCTTGGCACCACTCCATGAAAATTATTGAATGATAAGTTGAGAACTTGCAAAGAACGCAACAACGTTAGAAACTGTGGAATTTCTCCCGATAAGTTGTTATGAGATATATCCATCACCTTGATGCCTAACATGTTCACAAATGTTTGCGGAATGCTTCCTACAAAGAAGTTGCTTTGCATCTCAAGATACTCTAGAACCACGCATTGACTAAGAGTGGATGGGATATCTCCAGACAATCTGTTGTATGAAATGATAAGCTTATTCAGATTGACAAGGTTGCCTACTTCATCTGATATGCTTCCGGACAAGTAATTGTATGACAAGTCTAACACCATTGAAAGTGAAGAAATTTTAAAGATTGTCTCTGGTATTGTTCCATTTAGTGAATTGTGAGCAAGGTTGAGTATTTCGAGTTGAGTACAATACCCTATACTCAGAGGTATGCTTCCACTCAAGTTGTTCCTATCCAAATTTAGATAATTCAGCTGAACAAGTTTCCCAATGTTGTCTGGGATTTGACCAGAGAGTCTGTTTTGAGCAAAGGACAGAATGCCTAATTTGTGCAAATTTCCGATTGTTAGAGATATATTTCCAGTCAATTGATTGTAATCCATGTACAACTCAGTGAGGCTCTTAAGATTGCCGATCTCTTGTGGTATAGGTCCGGAAATTTTATTATTTCTTAGCCACAACCGTTGGAGACTACTAGATAGATTGCCAACAGAACTTGGCAGGTTTCCTTGAAGATTGTTCCCATCCAACATCAGCTTAGTCAATCTTGTGCAATTTGAAAGTGACGAGATAAAGCCCCAGTCGCCTGCTTCTAGCATGTTGTATGCCACATCAAGGTCCTCCAAGTTTGTCAGTGATCCAAAGGATGGCATGATTCCAGTTAACTTGTTTTCAGCTAGGTAAAGCATTTGTAGATGGGTTGAATTGAGAAGAGAGGTTGGAATTGAGCCCTTAAACTTGTTTGCTAATAGAATCAAGCCTTCAATGTTTGGGAGTGTATAGCCGATCTCTAAAGGTAATCTTCCGGTGAGTGAGTTATTTGCCACAGTAAGAAATGTCAGGGATGACATATTGAAGAGGGGTGGTGGAATTGTCCCAGAGAAATTGTTCAAAGTCAACATCAATGTCTGTAGCGTTGGAATATGTCCTAAGCTCTCTGGTATGCTCCCATCTAAACAATTCTGTGAAAGGCGAAGATAAAGTAGGGAGGAAAGGTTCCCCAGAGAGGAAGGTATTGTTCCTGTGAGACAGTTTTCTCCTAAATCAAGATATTGAACTTGTGGAGAGACGGTTTTAACAGGTGGTATAGAACCGGAAAAATTGTTCTGGTTGAGGTAAATGCCGTTAAGTGACAACGTGTTGAGTAGAGCCTTTGGGAGTTCTCCACTGAGACTATTGCTATTGAGAATGAGTTGTTGGAGAGATGAACTATTCAACATGGGCTTTGGGATCCCTCCGGTAAGAGCATTCTTCCCAAGATTGACATATGTGAGTGTAAGGCTACTGCCCAAAGAGGGTGGTATGTCACCTGAAAGTCTGTTGTTTGCCAGGAAAAGTACACTCAGTTTAGGAAGGTCCCCAAAAGCAGAGGGGATGCTCCCTTGGAGCTTGTTGTTGCCAAGGAGAATTTGTTGAAGATGCACACATTGACTTAGACTAGGTGGAATCTCACCTTGCAGGGAATTGTTCTGCAGATCTAGGATCTGAAGTTGTGAACATGAAGAGAGTTCTGATGGTATGTTACCTTCCAGAGAGTTCATGCTGAGGTCGAGGTTCTGGAGTTCGTTCAGGAAGCCAAGCTCAGACGGTATGCCGCCATGGAAGCTATTGTTTGATAGTTGCAGCCTTGTAAGAGAGGTGATGTTGGCAATACAAGGTGATATTGAGCCTATGATGCCTTCGGATGGGAGATCAATGGCGATAACACGGCGAGGAGCTCTCCTGCTGCATGTGACTCCATGCCAGTTGCAGGGTAACAAGGATGCATTGTTCCATGAGGCTAGAACTCCAGTTGGACCTGAGAGCTGCGACTTGAAGCAAAGGAGAGCGTCTCGATCAGTCTCAGTTTCATCACTGATGGCTAATGGCTGGAAGAAAAGGAAATGAAATATAAGATGGCAAATGACGCCTGTAGAGAAGACTCTCAAAGCAGCCATTGCTGTTCGTTTTTGAGAGAATGGTGGGAACTTGGAGGATGGCATGATGCATGCTTTTGTAGAAGTTGGAACTGAACATGCTTCAATTATCCCAGTAAAAAAAGTTACTTTTTTTAAGGAAGTCTAAAAAGTGGCTTGAATTGTTTGGGAGTAATTGGAGTAAACGCTTGTACAAGTCACTGTGAGGGTACAAAGTCTGAGCTAAATTATTTGGAAGGTTAACAAAAAAGGGTCGATAATCACTTCCACATCCGTGATCCATCGACGATTCGGCACACCAATACGTGTGAGTTGAAATTTACTGTAACTCATCTTTCCAAATAATTGTTATTGTACACCATTAATCTTCAAACTTTTGACAACTCATTTTCTTTAAAGGTTTTCTAAATACTTAATTAAAATTACCATATTATTAATAAAGCATATTAAATTCTAAACATATTCATTAAACTCTACTTTATATTATTATAACTATTTAAGAGCTATCAGTACTCGAAGTTGAAACGAAGGAAGCACAAATTGTTCATATTACGTATTGGATCGTTGAACCAGATTATTTGTCCCATACTTTAAAAGTACATTATTTTAAAAATAATATCTTTTACTGTTTTGTCTAGATCACTTTAAGTTAGTTGTTAAGTTTATTTATTAAAATATTTACTTTATCACTATACTTAAATAGATAATCCGTGACAACAATCTATCCAATAATTTATTTCAAACTGAGCCACTAGTCTTTTCCTTTTGGTCCTATGATCCTTACTGAAGTGGAGTAGGAGTACTACTCAGTATACTAAGTACTGTTAGTACTCCCTCCATTTAAAAAATATAAAGGGCCTCATCTTTTCGCTTATGCTTATGTTTATCAGCCAAAATTTGAATTTTCAACCTTAAATTTGGTTTTCATCGAAGTTTATTTTTCAGCCTTTGCTTTTAGATCGCTAAGAACACATATTAAAAGTTTATTCACAATTTACTTTTTAGTCTGCAAATATGCCGTTTGGCTTATTCCACAAATAAACGAAACAATGGGGCTGAAAGAGTTTTGGTTGGATGAGATACATCAGTTTGTCCAGATTCGTAATAGTAGGATATGTCCTAACCAAAACTCTTTATATTTTGGCAGTGGCGAACCCAAAGGGTAGTCCATGTAGGCCCAGGACTACCCTAGAATTTGGCCTAGAAAAGACTAGATATTCATTTTTCTTGGCCCATCAAAAAAGTATGGCCTAACAAAAAAAACCCTAAGGGGCTGTTTGGGAGAGCTCCTCTACAAAAAAAATGAGCTCCTCTCCAGGAAATCTTCTCCACCGGGAGCTCCTGGAGCTAGCACCTGTTTGGGTAATAATACATATGGTCCAGCTCCAGATTTGGTAGGAGGAGTGAAAGGACTGTTTTGCCCATGGATCTTGTATGGATGTTGATTACTAATATATAGTGATGTTTAATATTTCTCACAGCCATAACAATAATAAAAAATAAAATATATTACAAAATAGACTTGTTGCAAGACGATACAAGTAGCTATTTCAAGAACGGTACAAAATTAGCTCGAATAGCTAATTTTTTTATAATAAAAAATAAAAAAATTATAAAATAGACTTTTTTCAAGACGATGCAAGCACCTATTTCAATCCTGCTGCGAGAGGTAATGTTGCAGCAAAACGCGAAAACGGCCACGATCGAGCTACACAGTAGACTGGAGAGCGCACAGTCACAGTGCAAAGCAACACGCATGGCAATGCTGCTACTGTACTAGGGAATTGCACCTCCGAGTAGCTAATTTTTTTATCGTAATATTTATTTTACATCTTAATGGAACACATGCAAATCTGCCGCAATTGAGAAACGAGTTGGGAGCAAAATCCGCACAAGGTACCACATTTTAATCAAAGGTTCATAATTGAAGTCCAACAAAGATACATTATCATCTTATGTCTTACAAATCTAGCGCCAAGAAATTGATAAAGCGGTGGCTAGTTCATCACGGAAGAGATCCATAGTTCCTGCACTTCTTTCGGGAGTTGACTCATCAGATGCCGTTCGAGGAACTGCGTATTTGTTGTACCGTTCTGGTATTGTTGGAATAAAATTAGGGTCACGATCAAACCTAGCAAAATCAGGATCCTCACCTCCATGCTCACGAATGTAATTATGAAGGACCATAGCAGCCACAACAATCATTTTTTGCTTGTACATGGGGTAGCACGGCATCTTGTACAGAATTTGCCACTTCATTTTTAGTAATCCAAATGATCGCTCAATAACATTGCGGATGGAAGAGTGCACACGATTGAATTTTTCCATTGGAGTATTGGGTTCCATACCTCTGTGCCACTCTGGTAAATGGTATCTCTCACCTTTGTATGGAGCAAGATAACCGGGACGATTAGGATATCCTGCGTCAACAACATAGTATTTGCCTACAAAAGATAGCATAGTATGATTATTGATACATTTTAGTAACACATGCACAGTTAGCACAAATAGAGAGCATAATACAAGTGTGGTACCTTGTGGAGGATGAGGGAAGAATTTTTCATCCACTCTTAATGCATTGTATAAAACACTTGTGTCATGCATAGCTCCCGGTTGACCCGTTGCAACATAAGTAAAACGCATGTCAAAGTCACAAACGGCAAGCACATTTTGAGTGGGAATTCCAGTTTTTCCAATATATCTAACTTGCTCATCAGGTGACAATGACACACGGATATGAGTTCCATCAAGAGCACCAATACAATCTTTGAAATGGGGAAAAGTTCTTCTATCATCTCTTATCCTCTTATGAACCGAACGAAAATTGGGATCTTTTGGTCGAATGTAATCTTTTGCCATGGCCATCAAAGAATTTAAAACCTCATCAAATTTTCTACTAATGGTTTCACCAGAATGTTTGAACCTATTTTGAGCTCTCCTATTGGACTCATTTCCACCACATGTAAACAGAAACATTGCAAGCATCTCATGAGTACTCATATGCAGGGATGGTTCGAGTCCATACCTTTGCACCAACAAATCATTTAGGTCCAAAAAAAGATCTGTGTTCATACGAAGCTGTGAATGACATTCACCAGGAGTCCGCAATGTCTCTAGCAACCATCCCATGCCACTAAGAATTGATGTCCTTGGTGGATTTTTGTGAAGGTACATATCAGCATAAACTTGAGCTATTTGGGCACCACCTAAAACAAGTTTCCAGAACAAGGTCACCATCAGTAGAGTCCCCTGACTCACTCTCACTTTCACTGTCAGTCACCTGCAGGCCAAAAAAAAAGAGAACAACACTTGTTAGATCACAGCACTTGTTACAAATAGTATAAAAAATAAACTTAACATATATTATATCTGTAGACGCCATCACAGCACTTGTTAAATTATACTAATTAACTTAACACAATCACAGAAAAAAAAAAACTTCATCCAAGTGACATCAATCTGTAGATGCCATTTCTTTTCCCAGCCTTCATCCAAATCCATTCAATCAGACAAACAAGCATGAGTCTAACAGTACTATTATTACACCAAATCCATTACAAATATTTCAAATGGGAGAAATTATGAAATAACAAGAAGGCCTGCATAACAGCAAGTATGGATCATGCTCCATACTTGGCATTGTACTTTCTCCTAAGCCAATTAAACCTAAACTCTTTATTTGGTAGGGTCATAAACATGTCCCTTTGGTCCTTTTTGACAAATAACTCTATAGCAATAAAATGCTCATCACTACCATAATCTGCCCCACAATCCAAAACTAGATCCATGATTTGTTGCACGGTTACTTCATTTGACTTTTTTGATGTGAAAGAGGAGGCTGACTCAGCAATCTTGGTGATTTGTTCTTGAATAACAAGTGCTGTCCCTATCTTTGATTTCTTGCCTTTGTCAAGAACAGCCCGAGATCTTCTCTTTCCAATACCAATGGAAGGAGAAACCTCATGGCACTCCTGGGCCTCGTCATTCATTTCCTCCATGGGGGTCTCTTGGACCTCTTCATCATCAACTACAAGATTATCTTCCTGGACCTCCTCAGTCATGTGCTCAGGTATGATGGGGTTCTCACTCATAGGATTCCAATGATCGGATGCATCATTAATAATGTCAGAAAACATAATGTTAAGGTCATCTACATTCTGCAAGGGTTTCTTCCTAAACTTGCCGCATCCAGGAATATCCTATTCAATTTCAACCATGAAACAATGTGTTAGAAGCAAGCTAATTCTAGTTAATAATTAAGGGGCAGGTATAAAGCTAATTCACCTTTTTTGCCTTTCTCCACCACTCATCATCCATTACAATCACACCTCTTGAGTGATCCCATCCTGTTCCAGTTTGCTGCCTCATTAATTTTTGCCATGCCACAAAATCAGGCTTCATCTTATCCCACTTATTCCTGAGCTGTCGCTTACTCAACTCAATTCCAGTTATTTGGCGAAACAACTGGATCACTTCGTCATAGCCTACGGAGTTCAAATGGGTATTTGGCCTATTTCCTTTCACCACTTGTTGGGCAAACAATTGACAAACAATGGTAGTATGCTCATCAATCCATTCCATTGAATCACCCTGTCCAGTCAAATTAGAGATTTTATAGTTTTCAAGATGCAAATAAATGGACGATTTTAGCTTTCTGAAATAAAAAATATATCACATAACAGAAGGTAATACTTCATCCATATGCTTATGGTTTTGACTACAACCCAAATTAGCTAGCTTCTTCATATCATACACGAAGCACATGAGGTTATACCATTGGATGTCATCCAAATATCAGACAAGTAATTACCTGGTTCGTCGCTCCAGTACGCGGGGGACGAGCTTGCTGCTGGGCAGCGCCGGTCGGCTGGGACCCGCGCCCCAGTGCGACGCCGGCGGGTGAGCAGCCGCGCCCCACGGCGGCTCCGGCGGCAGGGCTGCCGTGCCCCAGGATGGCTCCGACAGCGGGAGGCGGGCAGCCGCGCCCCAGGGCTGCTCCGGCAGCAGGAGGCGGGTGCAGGGCGGCTCCGGCAGCGGGAGGCGGGCAGCCGCGCCCCTGGCCGCGCCACTGGCCGGCAGCAGGAGGCGGGCAGCCGCGCCCCTGGCCGGTTGCGGGAGGAGGGAAGCCGCGCCCGTGGCCATGCTCCAGTCCGGCGCCCATGGTCATCTCGGCGGCCGGGACTTCCTCCTCTAGGCCGGATCCATCTTGGACAGAGGCGGATCCAGCCATCTCGGTGGCGGCGGCTCTAGGGTTGGCGGCGGCGGCGATCTGCCTGCAGACTCGGCGGCGCTCTGGTGGAATCATTTTTTTCACGAATGAGGAACGGGAACGGGGCGGTACTGTGGAATAGAAGCGAATCGTTTTTTTTAACCAATGGCAATGGTGGGTAATTTTTTACCATCTCCATGAGGACATATGACTCCAGGTTTTGGTGGAGTACCCCTTGAGGAGCTCCAGAATATTCCTAGAGATGGAGCTGCGATTTAAGAGCCAGAGCTACTCCACTACTCGTGTTTGGCAAAAAAAACTTGGAGATGGAGCTATTTTCTTGGAGAGGAGTCCTGCCAAACAGCCCCTAACTCTCCAGTCCTGGCCTCTCATTCTCCGTCTCTCCCTGTCTCCTAGTCCACTCCCGACGGCACCACTGCGCTAGCACGGCAGTCGGCAGCAACGCCATCGCTCCGGCGCTCCCGTGTGGTCACGTCCCGCGAGGCTACGACGGTGCAGTGGCACTCCGCCTCTCACCGGCGCGCCCTGGCCTGGGCCTGCTCGCCTTCCATCGTGACTCGCGCCGTGGCGCCGCGTCTAGCCGGCGACCTCCCACCCGATGTGCGCGCCCCGCCATGGCGCCGCTGGCTTCGCGCGCTCGCGCCCTCTCCGCCCCTCGCCGGCGCGCCCTAGCCTTGGCGGCTGGGCCTGCCCACCTTAGCGCCTTCCCGTCGCGACTCGCGCCGCCGCGCTGTGTCCCGCATGACCGTGTCCAACTGGCGGCCTTCCGCCCGACGCGCGTGCCCGCCGTGGCGCCGCCAGCGCCCGGCGTCACTCCCTCTTCGATGAGCAGTGAGCACTTCCTCAGCCCCTCCCCCCATTCTAGAGTTCTAGTAGTAGTAGACGACCAGTACTATCCCCTTCAATAATCAAGTTTTAGATTTCTAGTCGTATGCCATATCAATAGATTACCACAAAATTGTGTGCAACAATAAAAATCATATGACATTTTTACATGGTTTGATGGTTGTCAGGAGATTGAGGCATATGGATAAGAAAGCATTGCGTTACTTTTCCAGAAGCATGAAGCAAAAAAAGTTGCATCTTGTGATCTACCAATCCCACCAGTGGATGAAGGGTCGTCTGTTCCTGCTGTAGTTGATGCTCCAATTGATGAAGACACAATTTACATTGTCATTTAGGTAAGATTTAAACTTATTTGTTATTTTTTATTTGTATTGAACCATTTAAAGTTATATACCGTATCGTTTACCAGATTTTATGTCGAATCATATTGTATTGTATTTGGATTTTTTTTTCTAGGTCTACCCTAGATTCAAATTCTGGGTCCGCCAATTTTGGGATGGAGGGATTACTGAATAACAAACTAATCTAGGATTGACTTGGCGAAATCTGTTAGTCAATGCTAATGCCACTCGATGGAGCATGCGCCAAATTATTTTGCAGCCATCGTCCAGGCCTCCAGGGCTTCAAACATTGATAACGAGATGCCAATCACATTTAACCTGATTGATTTTTCTCCCGAAAAGAAGACTTTGACTGACCGTACTAATGTTGTTCTCACGATCTAAACGCGTGGTTTCTAGTACTCCAACCAATTCGTTACTTCTCATTTAATGTCGTAAGTAAACTTTTTTTTATCTTTATCCATTAATTTCATTCGAAAAGACCTACACTTAAATATTTTTAATTTTTTATCACTATTTGCATAGGTTTTAAGATTTATTTAAATATCAAGGTTTTAAATTTCAAGCAAAAAATCATGAATTTTTTTTAAATATTTTAAAAGTTTGATAATGGTATCATGTATGGCTTTTAAAAAAAGCTCAACTTAAAATACGACTCATGTAAAGAGAAATAAAGAAGAGTGATGTGTGGTGGGGATTTTTTTTTTTTTTTTGGGGAGGGTGGTGTTGTTAAAATGAGAACATAGTAGTTTAGAGCGCTTAATTAAGTGATAAAATGAAACAGTTCAGAAGGAGTAAAATAGATTTAGTATTTCTCATGGTGAATCTAAAGAAACACATGATAAACTATATAAGTTATTGAAGCATATGATAAATGATAAAGATATAAATGTTTTGACTAAGACAAATAAGGTTGTGTTCGGTAGCTACGATTGGATACCTTTCCCCTGCTGATGAAAAATTCGCATCCGGCTGATGGTGCCAAATCTGCGTTTACGTGAACTATGTGGAAACACATGAAGGCCTGAGAGATTTGCTTAGCTCTAGTGCAGGTCCTAAATTTTGATGAGATGCGGGCATGCCAGTTAGTTTGATCCTGTAACTGACAAGATATATAAATTGATGATCAAATAGCCGACCAGCTAACAAACTGATGTAATGATGCTAGCAGATATCGATAGGGGTCTGAGATATTGATTCTGACACTTGGATAAATGACGATATAAATATAATGGAAAAACTTGAGCAATCAACCAATCAACCAATGATAATATAAGAGTAAATTTTGGAAAACTACAACTCTAGTGACAAAACTATCAGTTTGCTGCAACATTAGCGACATGTTTCAGTTTGCTGTAATAATAGCGTGGGAAATTATTACAAAACTGCAACAGTTATATGCTGCTACAGTTGTCACCTAGTATATATATTGATATGTGGAGATAGATTACAGGGACCCCGAATCTACATATTTATACCCATCGGTAGATATTAGTCCTTATTGGACAAGACACAAACATTCCTATAGATAAAATAAAAGATACAAGTCATGATCGGGCTCTAAATAATCTTTCCTGAAAATAAAAGGAAATAAGTAACTCTACCTAATTAATAGATAAACTGTCATGTCGCATCGTCCTTGAACTCAGTCTCTTTTAGATAAGTTTCTTTTAATTGATTAATTTTCTGAACCGAATCCATCGAGAATCTAACTGTTGGTGACTGATGTTTCCATCGACCTATTCCAGAACTCTGAAGCGAATATTGACTCTAGGCTGATGATAATTTTCGGGGCATACCAACTTTTGGCGTTGACACCCTCCTAGCATGTAAAAACGGAGCAACCAAGGGGGCTGCTATATAATGGAATCCTGTTGGGACGGGATGATATCTAACCGGTATCAGGCGATACTTGCGAGGTATCAGGTGATATCTACAAGATATCAGACGATTTCTATCATGTATCATGTGATACTTGCGAAGTATCAGGTGATACTTGCCAGGTATCATGCGATTCTTATCATGTAGAAGGTGATACTTGCGAGGTATCAGGCGATACCTACCAGATATCAGGTGATTTCTACTGGGTATTAGAAGCCGACGACCACTACCGCCCTCCCTCCCTTGGCTCCAGCCACCACCATCGCTCCCTTTCCTGGCTCCAGCCATCGCCGTCTCTCCCTCCCCGGGGTCCGGCCACCGCTATCGCCGCCCCTCCGTCCCCTGGCTCCGGCCACCGCTGCCCCTCCTCTCTTCGTCGATGTCTCCCCTGCCGCCGGCTTGGCCGCGATGCGCCGCTGCCTCGACACGACGCAGACGAGGTCCTCGATGCCGCGGGAGCTTAATGCGCAGGGCTCATCGCCGATGGCCGTGTCCACATCTCGCCGAGCGGGTCCTCTTCCCCGGCCCTCGCCGGCAGCCACCTCCTCCTCACGGCTAAGGCGCTTAGCTCTCTCTCCTCTTTGATAGGCAAGGGGGTGAAAGGGATCCCGTCCCGTCCTGATGGAATCCCTGAAATTTTTACATTTTGGTCCTTTTTGAAAACTTATTTTACAAATAGACCCCTGGGAAAACTTAAATCGGAAATGGTCCTTTTTGGGGCGCCAGAGTGGTTGGCGCCGTACCCCAACATGGCGGTGCCAGCCACACTGGCGCCGTGCTCGTGCCACCGTGGCACTAGGGCTGTCGTGGAGGTGCTGACTGAGCAGAATGGGGGCGCCAGCCACACTGGCGCCGCCCCTCATACCACGGCGCCAGCATGGCTGGCGCGCCCCTCCTATGTGGGCCGACCCCTTAAACCCCATGGGCCCCACCACCTATCTCCTCCCCACTCCCATTTTCGCCCAAGCACCAGCCCGAGCTGAGCAGCAGCAGCTCTCCCCCTCTCTCTCCTCCTCACCTCCCCACCTCAAATTCACTCCATTTGAACTCGTTTTTCGCGGGATTTTTTTTTGGAAATCGAAGAGAAAGGTAGACTCCTTCATTCACCCCTCTTTTTTTTCGTTTTTATTGGTTGAATTTGTAGATCGGTGGGTAACCCTAGAACCCCTTTTTTACCCAAATTTGTGATTTTTAGCATTTGTTCTTAGGATTGGCTTGTTGTAGTGCTACATGTTTGCAATGTACTCATTGGTGTCACGATTTTTTTAACCATATATGTGGTAATGTTAATTTTTGGATGGTTTGGTTGGATGGATGGATGAAAAATTATGGTTGAGGCATGAAAGTAATTTTAATTTGATGGACTTGATGCTATAGTCTATAGGTTAAACTTTTAACCATTAATTATATGAAGGTGAAAATTTTGGTTGCATTATATAAATTGATTATAGTTAACTAGA